TGGCTGTGAGTTTGGTTATAAATTCTTCCTTTTAGCTTCATTTATCAGCCCTTTCTACGCCTGTGTGTGCGGACTGAAAATCAATAAGCATGCGGCAGTGTTTTCCTTAAGTCCGCTTCCTAATTCCCGTTTTGACAGCAATTAATCAGGGCCCGCGCTTGCGTGCAATTAGTGTTGCTATAAAACACCATAAATTGCTTTATGCTGCCTCCTAATGGGAACTGGACGAAGAGTTAGGGAAGTCCTTTTACGAGGCGCCTGCATGAAAAATTCAAATCACTTGATTAGTGGCAATTAATTTGGCCAACGCCATTGCGTAAATCACTCAGTCAGCTAAAGTAACAAGCCTAGTCAGTAAAATCCAAAATGTTTATGCGGGCTTAAAATTGTGACATTTGGTTAGTCAGCGTAAATTGATAGTTTTCTGTTAACTCAAGCAAAAAAGAAACTACCCTTATCGACATTGTTGCATAATGGTCCCCGGCCGAGAATTACCTGTGCTATATCACGATATTATCATTGTATACGCGCAGAATTGTTGCTTCCCGATATTGTGTTCCAGAACCTCTTGTTTATGGCCCTAGTTATGGCGGGTGTTAATGGCTCGTTTGCGTGCCCCACCGCTACTTGTTGTGACCTTGTCCAAGTTCCGACTTGACACCGAAAAAAAATGTATATTTAGTTCCTGATATTACTTTTAATCGTTTAATTTTATTTAAAAAAAAAAGAAATAAATTAATTAGGATTTGTTTTTTAAACTTGGTTTAAGAACTAGCATTTGAATTTTTTTTTACTTCTCAAGAAATCGATGGATTTCTGATAGGCCATTGACTCGATTTGTTTCTGTGTATCTCTGGCTGTGACTTGGCCAGTTCAATTTGTAACTAATAGAATTGTCACTCACATATCGCAAACATCTGTTGGATAGCGTTCTCCACTGCCATCCAATCCCATCCACCTAGGGTTGGGAAAAGGGCCCATCACTCACCGCAATTGTACTGTGTGACAAGTGAATTTGTCATTGGCTGCTCAAGTTGAAACAAAGCCAAGGCCGGACAACAGAAAATTGCTTGTATTTTTGTCGGGGAAAAGGCGTCTGAGGTCGGGGAGAATTTGAATTTATGTTAGGGTTGCAAAGGGAAATACTTTCATTTGGAGCTGCCACAAAGCATTTCCGGATTGTGGCACACACATAATGCAGAATGTGTGTAGGTATGTCCTTCTGACAATGAGTGATGCTTCTGTGAGCCTTGGTCAACACCAGGAGACATGGAAAACAAAAACAGTATGTGGCATCATGATGGATAGCCACATATCAACTGTGTAATGCATATTGCAATCACAAAATAGGCGGCTATTAGTTAATAGCCATTATCTGCGTGTTGCCTGAAATGATGGCATTTCAGCTGAAAACTTCTAAGGTTATTAGCTAATTGCTGACCTATCTTATCTTAAAATGCCACACTGATAGCATTTTCAGATACATCAATTGCTTTTTAAAGCGACCTTATGGGCTATGCAATTATATCTGAATTATTTATATATACCTATTATGAATTGCAGTTCTAGTTATTTTTTATTACTTGCATAGAAAATTAACAATTAATATCTTATCTTCTCACTGCGCAGGCGCTCCTTCGATGCTCTCTCGTTCCCTCTCTTGCACTCACGGCTTGTTTGGTATGGGCCCTTTGGCGGCCGCTTGCACATAGCCTCTTTAGCTCAGTGGTAGAGCGTTGGTCTCGTAAACCAAAGGCCGTGAGTTCAACCCTCACAGGAGGCAACACGGGAGTTAACTTTTTTTGTTTATAGAATTAACAAGCATTGTGAAAATATCATCAACAATTAAATTCTCGTTCACAGAAGTAACTTAATACTCAGTATAATTCACGTACGTTTTTACTCATCAACTTTTTTATAATGTTCACTGAAATTTATATTTTTAAAACTAGATTTGACGAAAAGTAAGATTTGTTCTTATATTTTCCACATTAGCATGATATTAATTTTCGGCAGCGCTAAAATATCAAACATGTGGAAACAAATCATTTCTGAACCGTATGTCATTTAAAAATGATTTTGCAGTCGTTGATCGTTTCGATAATAAAAATGAACAAAGTTATCTTCTGTTGCTTTCCGTTTCACTGTTTTGACAAACGATCTTACAACCCTCTCTCTTTCTCTCTCTCACGTTCTCGTTATCTCTGCCTTCGCCTCTCACAGCGTTATTTCCTATAAGGCATTTGGCGGCGCTCTTCACATCGCCTCTTTAGCTCAGTGGTAGAGCGTTGGTCTCGTAAACCAAAGGCCGTGAGTTCAACCCTCACAGGAGGCAACATTCGGCATGTTAGTATTTTTTTTTATGGTTAATATTTTTTATTTTATTTGTCCCTTTTTATTTTTTTAGTATGTTGACTTAGTGTTATACATATTTACAATCTCTGCAGGTACGCCATGGTCTTTCATTTTCCCGTCAAAGTCGAAAATTTCATCAAAAGAATAACTAGTTGTGCGTTGTGCTGCTTTTCTCAGGCCCAAGTGTTATTTTATGACTGCACTGGTCGCACGCGCACGTGTGGGCCTTTAAAACTAACGGCAATACGAGTTGTAAATAGGGTTTCGGGGCTTGTATGGTGAATGATGCGGTCATTAAGGCCATGTATCTGCGTGGGACGCTGGGCGGGCAAACATATGTGGACGTGCAATGATTATGTAAGGGTACATACTCACGAAACCCTCGACATTTGCGTTAGCTTCTCTGGCCTGTTTGTGCTTAAGCGATATTAGGGAAAATGTTGGCAACCCATAAAAAGCGGAAGTAAAAATAAATTTAAGCAAATTGCAAACATGACACACAACGCTTGACCACAAGCACGCTGAAAGTAATATTAATTACACTCATCTTTGTTCGAGTTTCATTTATTAATAAACCAATCATTCAGCGCTTTCAGATAAGCGTAAATCAATAATACTATTTAATGGCCACTGCTAATTTATATATTATGAACGTGGTTTATCTTTCCTCATAAAACTATCATGATAGTCCGGTTAATAGAAAAAGGATGACTTCCTTATATTTTTATATAATTATATAAATATTTATAGTTTTTAAGCTCAGGCATAATTATCTTGTTATTTAAATATTATACTACCTTAGATGAGATTTATCTCACGGTGTTGTACTTACCGATTTTTATGAACTATGGAATGTTTCGCAGAGCTATAAATATTTTTATGTATAACAATAGAACAATGTGGCGTTCAACGAAGAAAACGCAAGCTTTTCACCTCCGTTAAATTACCTTTATAAAGTACGCGCGTTAACCCAACCTGTGCTATGGTAATTAAGGTGTAAATTGGGCCCCGTTAAAGTATGCCACACTTTCTATTTGGCTCGGCAATAAAGGTAATTACGAACCGAGTTAAGCCTCAGAACCTCAAACTTTTGCCGTACTTTAACAAGCAGGATCCTTTACCGAGGACAGCTTTAAGCAATCTTGCCGCGACCTATGCTAAATTTATATTTATAAATTAATAAAGCACGCAGATGACACTTTTGTTGTATCGCCGCCAGCTGAGGACTGATGGCCAAGGGACCGCTTTTCTACTTGGCTTGGGACTAATTGAAAATGACAGGGTGCCAGTCTTTTGTTGCTGCCAGCGTCTGAGTACCGGGAAAATGTTAATCAAGGGGGCAACTTGGCTATGGCAAAATCAAATCAAGGTAATTTACCGTAAGAGACAAAAAGGCATCATTCCATTTCTCAGGTTCTGAAATTGACAACATATCCGCCCCTTTTTCCATTTCGTTCTGGTGGGTTATGTGAGTGCTTGAATTTGTATGTATTTAGAGAAAAACGTTCTCAAATTCTCCACATTCTCTTTATTTAAAAAACCTGTAAATACAATTTATCAATATATACTTCAAAGAAATAGAGCATTGCTTTTTAAAAGCTTTTTTTGTCAGTGTATCCGTGTTAAGTAAGCGAGACCAAGTATTTGGTCTGTAATTTATATGCGCACAGCAGATACCTAAATTCAGCGTGGAGTTGTTTGTTATCTTACCTCATTCTGGACCCGTAATTTGCATATTGTGTACATCTTGGGTTCGCAGAGTCAATAACCGCCCCCCTTCGCCCTTTACAAAGGCACATCACCCACACAGAGGCAACGAAATAGTCCTGGCCGTTGCTTTGTATGCAGGTGGCACGTCAGCTCATCTTGGGTTTTGTATTCTGGTCCCGCTTTTAGGCAGTGCATTTCCGATTGGCGCCAACTCTCGCTTGCCTTTTATTGGTATACCTTTCTGGCTGCGAAGCACACACTTCAACACGCAGAACACACACAAAGAGGGAAATTGCAAAAAACAAGAAAGCATTTTCCCTTTTAATTTCAGCATTTCTGCGAGTCCCCCATTTCAGTGATGTTATTGCTGTTTTTGTTTTTGCCAGGACCTTACAGGCCAGTAAAATGACTGTTGCCTGCTTTGAATTTAAACAAATGAGGAATTGTTGCTGCCGCTTTAATGGTTGCCTTCATTCATCTCCCTGACTTTCAGCTATTTATATACACTTTTGTTCCTGCCAACTTTTTTGAGGCTGATGTTTGTTCCATTCCCCAACAAAAGTTCAGTTTGCCATTGTTTGGCCTCTTATTTTTGTTGGCACGACTGGGTTGTTTGTTTTATTCTCAATGTATATTTGATTCCTTTATGATTGTGTTTGCATTTTTATTTATATTTGTTTAGCCGTCAATTTTAATGAGCTGTCGCGAGTTGGGACCTGGCAGTTCATAAATTTTATATGCCGCTATCAATTTCAGCGAATTCGGCGGGGGAAACCCATCATTTATTCATTGAATTTAATAACGCAGCACAAATTTTGTAGGCCACAGCCTATTAATTAGATGAGGTTAAGCAAAAAAATCCATCTACCCTGAAATTAGTTGTTGGAACTCACCTGCTCACCTGCTCACCTGCACCTCAATCAACTGGATCCTTATTTGGTTTCTTTAGTTTATTGTTTGGCTCTCGCTTCTCGCAAGTTATACCCCTTTACATACATATGCTTGCTTAGTCGCACTTTGATAGGCTATTTTAGCAGTTTTACTTGCGCTTCTCTAAATATATTTTAGATTTTGTTTTAGTTAATTTAAATTAGTTTCAGTTTAATTTAATTAATGATACAATACATTTCCGTCGCCTTGCCTCACAATTTGGATTCAATTACATATAATACTAAACATTTATAAGATACTTTCAATATCGACAATTGTTTTAATATATAATTAGGTATATATAGATATTGTATATATCGATTCATATTATCTGTGTAAGAGCCTTGAACTCACTGCGAGTCAGGAGTCAGTATATAATGGAGCTTAATAGTTTTTCATGCAAGTTACCACGTGATTGCTGATGATTACACACGCAACGCGTCCTTTTACACACGGTTTAAAGAATTTATAGTTTTATACAATTTGTTCGTATATTTCATGAGTTTTTTGTTTCAATGTTGCGCATCGGCATTTTATTTAAGATTTCCGCCCAAGCGCTTCGTTTTATAAATTTTGCTTCATGTGAACATGAATTCAACAGCAAGCCTGCGGAAATGTCGAAAATGCGAAGCGAGATATGTCAGCGAAAAACATTTTCATGAATCCGCTCTCAATGTGGATAAAATCAATAAAATCAGAGGGGTTTCAAACGTTCAGCAAATTTAGTTTCGTATGTGTCGTTTTCCCATCTTAGTCCTTGTAAGTTACAGGAAGTCCTTGTGACCATTTGGTTTTTGGCATTTCTCATAATAGTTTACATATAAATCAAATAATGTGTGGTAAATGATGATTGCTTTCTTGGATTGGCAAAGAAATCTGCCAGCTGTTTTTTTTAACTGGACTATTTAATTATTTCCAATTGGTCGCTCTCAAAAATTACCAAACCAAAAGTGACTTTAAGTCCGGCCATTTATGTGAAAATCGGAAACGATTTAAGTGTTATTGCAAAAGGGCATGTCTTGTGACAGCCGTTGTTTGGTTTGTATAGCAAATGTACTTCTAATATCGATTTGCTTTTGAGTTTTATGGATTGCAGGCTGGCTTTCGGCTAAGGACAATATATATTTTTTGGGCCATATGTTGTTCGCCGTTCTCCTATTTCGCTATTTGTATATTTTTTACTTTAAGTTCCGACTTTTATTAGGCTAATAAAACTTTAGATTTACCATTTGGTTGAGTTTGCTTGTTTGTGGTTCTGTTGCTACAATATTTCGTTAGTTTCAAAGAGTAACCCGTATTTCAAATTGTTCAGTGTGATTTGAGTGTGATTGATTGACCACAAATACGTTTATCCAGCTGGCGAGGTCATCTCTCTGTTGCTCCTGCCTCTTTTGAAATTATTTCATTGATGCTGATGCTAATGCTAATGCTGTTGCTGAATCTGATCTGTTTTATTTTTTCTTCTCATCTTGTTTACACTACACTGCATCAACAAAAGTTGGGTCTAATAAAATGTTCGCTTTGTTTTTGTTATCTGCACTTGCCAAATTGTTTTCGTTTGTTGTCGGCCAGTAAATCCCAATTCGTTTTTATTCATCAAGGAGTCTGGATGGGGCCACCCTGATTTATAGATTAGTGCGTAAATCAAGGTATTAAATTAGCAAAAGAGAGAATTTAAATTAACAGCTGCCTACACTTCCTCATTTAGTTATCTATGTCAACAATATTCTATACTTTAGTGTGGATTGTTAGTTCAATTGTACATTTGAAATGTTCCCATTTGTATATCAAGAGGTGGGTTGAAACTCAAACCAATGTGCGGCCTTCAGATCGTTCCCATTAATGAAGGTTAATCTCCAGAATGGAGCTCTTGGAATACTGATGGGTCTGGCGAGGGAGGTTTCCCTGCTGTCATGTCTCACGAGCCCGCACAAACGAAATATAACAATACAGAGCTGGATTGGGTGGGGTGTTTTCGAGTGTCATCCTGCCAGTCCACCAAGTAGTCGCTTAGTCCCGGATGAAGACGAACTCGTTGTAGTGGTTCCAGCGGTTCTCCTCGGTGTCCACACCCGGCTTAGGTTCCGCTGCCGAACCGGCGGTGCCCGATCCGCAGCTGCCGGCCATGCGGTAGCCATGGTCGTGCAGATTGTCGAAGGCCTGCTCGATGTAGCAGTGCTTTAGGAAGAACCGCGAGGTGTACCGATCGGTGCCGCCGTGGTCGGGATCCCGCGACTCGTTCAGCGTGTCGCCGAAGACCTCGCGGCACTGGGCCACGCGGCCGCAGACCAGGATGCGCGACAGCTTCCGGAACTTAACGTCGGCCAGGCCGTCCTTGCCGAACTGGAAGCTGCCGCGGTAGCCGATGGTGATGCAGCCGGGCGGCCGGGCGTCCCGCTCGCCGCGGATGCACTCGAGCATGGCCGCCAGCTTAAAGTGCTCCGCCTCGCGCAGCAGCCGCTGGCGCTCACGGAAGCCCTCGGGCAGGTGCAGCGCCTTGTCGCGCAGGAAGTCCAGGATGTAGCGGAAGAGGACGCCGTCGCGGTCCAGGAAGTAGCGGCCCTTGCTGTCCTTGGCCAGCGAGTCGCGGCCCTCGCCGAAGAGCTCGGCCAGCAGCGTGGTCTTGTCCTGCAGCAAAGTGGCCAGTGTGGTCGTGTAGCTCACGCCGCCGACGTTTAGCTCGACGATTTCGGGCATGGTGCTGCGGGCTTTCGGTTTGCGGATCAGTAATGGCCAATTAATCTACACACATATGGCCCAGCACACGGACACTCGCGAACTGACTGCAATCACTGGGGCAAACACTTTCTGGCTTTGTTTACAGCTTCTCCAATGGGGGACTTTTGCTATCCGCCAAACGCGTCCGCACTCGTTCAGGTCTCGTGTCGAACTGACGGGGCTCCTGGTCTGGCCTGGCCAAAACCAACAGCAAAAGCAAAACGCTTTTCACTCGCCCGTTGGTGTACTTTCGTGTGTATTCATTGGGGAAGGAGAGAGTTGTGGAGCTCTCTTCTCGCCTGCGCACTCGCCGCCTGTGTTATGATATTGGATATTATTGTTTAACAAGTGGTTAAATTTCAAAAATGTGCACGGATACTTCTGGCATATGCGCTCGAAGGGTTGGCCCGCCCGCATGTTATTAATTTGACGAGGGTCCGCAGTGCGTATGCTTAATGGCCGATATGCTGGATTACTCGGTGCCAAACTGTTGTTTAATGTCAGTGATGCTGCTTAAATTGTGCTCGAGCATTAGCATTCAGCTGGCGTAAAGTGTGCTCATTTTGGGGCGACTTTCACCCGGACAAAGTTCGCCGCCATATCATAACAAATTATGGCACATGGCATACTTTAAGGCGTCGCACATACTTTGTGCCTCGGCATGCCAACTATCCTGGTTTATTTTTCATGGCAAGACGGAGGGGGGCAGCAAAGATGGCTCAATGTTGCGAGTGGCAACAGGCGCTGACAATTTGACACCGTGACACTGACATTAACATGGCACAGCAGGCAGCGAAGGCAGCGCAGGCAGCGCCCTGCGAATGCAACTGGTTGGGCTGCCATGGCCAGTTTTGGCCTCTTTGGCCTCGTGCCAAATGGGCCAATATTCGCTTGGCTAGGGCCAAACAGCAGACTGCCTGGCTGCCAGGCTCACCTGTTTGCTGTTGCCGTCGCCTTCGCCCTGTTAACATTTCACGGAATGTCCTGCCTGCTCCCATGCGTGCCACTCGCTGCAATTGAATCAACAACAGCGGGCAATAACGAATTCGCAGCTCGCTGGCCCACTCCCCACTCTCCGACCTCCACCCTCTACTCAGCACCGCTGTGTTAGCCCTTTGACACGGCCGAGAAGAGCTGGAGATACACACAAAAACAGGCGGAGAAAAACAATAATCTGTGATTTCCTCAAATATATATAGGTAAAAACATATAAGGTAAATACTGGTATGTGAAACGACACACTTTGTAATATTCGTTATTCAAGATTTTTCGATACTAAATGTTTGATTTTCAAATTAAGTAAATAAATAAACATACTTATGTTATCATCAATGTACTGCAAATTTTTGGAGCTAATTTACTTCCAAAATTTGTTATATAAGTTATATAAGTTGGAAATATATTATTAAAAGATATTTAAAGCGGTGACTGAAAGTAAACTTCATTTTTGTTTCTTTTAACTAAAAATCAACCACTTATTATTGCCGCAAAATCTATAGAATTTTACCATTTGATTGATATTAATATAATCATTTCAAATTCGTAATGATCATGTTGTTTTTGTTGATAATGCTATTACGAAATCCAACACAAAGTAATTCTTATTTGAGGTTTTTTAAATTTCTCAGAAAGCAATTATTATTTGTAAGGTAAACAAATTACAGCTTACTAATCTACTAGAAATATTACTCTATTTAAAATCAAAGTTTAGATTATTTCAAAAAAAGTTTTTCTCTGTGCAGACGCCAATACCCGTTTGCTTACTCCACTCATTTCCGTTTCCGGTTGCGGCTGCTGCGGTCTCCCTTCCTCTCCTCCTCCGAATACGGGAGCATTTATACCACTCACACTATCTGGCTAATGCTGCTGCTCCTTATCAGGATGGTCGCCTACCCTTCAAAGTATTCGCGGCCATGAATCGCGGTTTTTGGCACGCATTAAGATGGCGCAACACTTTACGCGCCATTACGCGCTGCCTGCATGTGTGTGTGTGTGTAAGTGTGCATCTGTGTGTGACACTCTGTGGGCGGAGGTGTGATGGCTCTGCTCTCTTGTGGCTTCCGTGGCTGCGTTACATTCCGTTTCTGGCCATGCCGTTAACGGTCCTTGTTTGTCTGGCTGACTGGAGCGATTCAAATTGATTTTGTCTGGCTGCCTTTGCACACACTCACACACACAAGCCCACATTGCATTACTGTGTGTATCTGTGTGTGGCGCTGGGTTTATCTATGTGCCGGAGCACTTTGTTTCGACAACGCGCCAAATTGTTGACTAAGCCAAAAGCAGTTTGCACGCTATTTCTGGTTTGTTTGCCTGTTTACCTTTCCGGACTGTCAGCTCCTCAGAGCGGTAAGATGGGTTCTAACGACTGTTTTGATAAGCCGCCTAAGCCATAAGGCCCGAAAAGAAGCCCTTCCCGCCATCACCTCGTTGAAACCATTTAGGGGTACAAAAATAAACTCTAGCACTTCAAGGCCTTCCTGTGTCAATCAAATTTCCAGTGCATATTGTGCATTTGATTTGCCTGGATAAATTTTGGCACACAGGCATTGGCTGCACAAACAAAATTGACATGCCCCAGAATGCAAAACATTTGACGTCAAATCAGCAATAGCTTCAATCAACAACAATAAAAACCTTTCAAGCCACTGCCCCCAATGAAATTCGGATTTAAGCCAATAATCGCATCAGGAAAATAACATACTAGCTTAAGGTCAACAGCAGATATGAAAATAGAAAATCTAGTTCACATAATAAGGCTTAAAAAAGATTTAAGTTATGATGTATCTTTGTTAAGAGCATCAATTTAAGTAAACAAATCTGATGAAGATTTAAAGATTTAAGCTATTGTCTTTCATATATTTCGAATTAAAGTTCAGTTTGCGATGGATTTGCGAAAGAACCGCACTAATTGCCACCAAGGACCCAAACCGCGCACTTATGCAAATGCACGCAGTGCTCGTGCGGTTAAGAGAGCCTGTGGATATGGGTACTGGTAGGAGTGTGCATAATGCCAGCGATTTTCCAGCTTAGAATGCATGCCCAGGCACGCGGCGAGTGCCAGCATGCGTATGCTTAAGATACATTGACGCCGGCACACGGTTATGTAAAGCAAATGCCAGCGCATACCTGCTGGGCAATTTAACACCACACACATGTGAGTAACAGTTGCCTTTAAAATACGCTTTCTGAGACTTTATGACACTATTCAAACTTTGTTCCTCCCAAAGTTAAATTTTGGAAACGACTGAACACAAAACTTTAAAATTAATTTATAACCAGTTGAGCAAAACTATTCTTATATATAAAGTGTACTTTTTTCGTGTTTTGGTATTAAAAATTAATTAAATGTTTACATGTTGAACAATGTTAGTTAGATCCAAAAACATAAAAATCCGTCGAATCAAGACTAGATAAATATTAATTAATTTGCCCAGAAATAATTATCAGAAAATGTTGTTTGTTATATTTGTATATTTTTTCATTTGCATATATTTGTATATTTTGCTTTCTAAATAATGTATACAAGACTTCACTTAAATTTTCTGCTATTACAAAAAAAATCAAAAATATCTGAAATAAAAAGTGGTAAAAATTTCTCCTTGACTTGAGTGAATAAGTTAGCTGAAGTTTGAGTTGGTAAGCGATCGGGGATTTCCAGGGACTTGCAGGCGGGACTTAAAGTCGTTAATTTTAAATGTGCAGCTCGGCGATAGCGGCATCCTGGGCAGCGGTTGACAGGTGCCTGCTGTTGACGTACACGTTGATTTTATTCACTGCCGACAGCAACAGTTGCTGCTAGCGAACACACCCGACCACGCCCCTCAATGCGCTCTCCGCCCAGCACCGCCCCACCCCGCCCCGTCCCTTTCCGCATCCTTGCTTGAACGCCCCTCGTCGGCATTGTGTGTGAAGGACTTGCCCGAAAGTGGGAAACACAAAAACCTTCCGGCGTGGCTGCCGGGCTCTATGGGCGTGTGTACGCAAGAGTTACTTTTTGTAGCAATTTTTACATTTCAGCCCTGCCATCATTATTAAAAATAAGAGATGCTCGGCGGGCCCGGCCTTGCTTTGCATGCTCTAAATGGATTATTCAAAGCCTGGCCCATAAATCGTGCTGGGCCTTCGAAAATCCACAAGTGGGGCGCATGTCTTTGGCCAGATGGCGGTACCACCAAGCCACCGCCAACTGTCCAAGTGAAATGCAATGAATTTGCTTACAGCCATAGGGACAGACCCCCATTTGTTCTGGTTCGCTTTCCTTTTCTGCACTTATCGATGCTTGTTGCACGTCCGTGGGAACTCAACAATTTCGGGGTAGAAAGCTGTTTTCAATCTCTCGCCCCCTTTCGCTAGCCAGTGCATTTGGCTATTTTCGTTTCGTTTTCGCCTTGTTTATTTATGTTTCTTGCCACACTTGCCCATTCAGTCGGATATCTCACATTCAGGGTCCAGTTCCATTAGCCGTTGAATTGTATGCTGTGCACGTTTTGTTGCTGCAACGAATTTTTTTTCAAGCATGAGCACAGTCGCACTTTTTTCCGGTATCCATTTCAGGGTGCCGTGTTAAATTGGCCCTAAAAAGGTGGAGCTTATCTAATTAATCTGGCTTCCAGGCGCTCGAACACTTGGCTAAAATTGAGCTGTAGGCAAAGCTGAAGCTGAAGTGTGATTCAATTAGCAAAAGTTGAGGAAAACTTTTGTTGGCAGGCCAAGTACTTTCATTCATAAAACCTTTAAGTGCCTAAAAATACTTGTGGCGAATTTATCAGCTGATGCGGCATCAACAGCAGATTGCTGTTGGTCGTATTTTTGTGCTTTTAGCCACTTTTGTTCGCTTACCCGGTCGCGGCGTACAGCCTGCAGATAAATGCAAATTTAGTTCGGCCAACAATCGCGCAATTAATTGGAAATAATTGCTGAATTCAAAGCGAAGGCAACCGGATAAAATATTTACGAAATTTTGATTACATTTCGCGGCGGCAACAAAGGCATTTGAGAGATGCAATCGAGGAGAATAATTTCAGGGGAAGCGAGTTTTCCACTCGGCTTCATCCTAACGAGTTTGCTATTGGTTTTATTCGAGTGCCATGGAGAGAGGACAAATGTGGGTGAGCAAAGTGCACTTTTTGTTCGCGTTACATAAGCAGGAATTTGCAGCGCAGTATGCAAATGTGTCATGTATTTTTATGCCGCATACGCACCGTTTGCCTATGGCGATGGCGATGACGACGGCGATGGCGACGGCGACGGCGAATTCGCGAAATAAAAATATAAACAGAACCCGCTAAGCAAAACAAAGAGCGAAAAAAGTGTCACTCTCTCTGAACTAGCTTCTGTCTGCAGGTCTTGTCTACGAGAATACCGAACCGGATCTCGAGAAGATCTTTCACCTGGCCATCAGCAAGGCGAACGAGGAGAACGAGGATCTGCAGCTGCACGGCGTGTCCGTCACCATTGAGCCGGGAAACTCCTTCGAGACCTCCAAGAAGCTCTGCAAAATGTTGAAAGTGGGTTGGATTCCTTACAGCTACTAAATGCTCACTTAGAAAAACATAGAAACGATCAGAATTTAGATTAAGTGCGATAGAGTATTTTTAAATCATAAAAGTCATAGTTTAAATCACGGAACTAAGCAAAGAGGACATTTTATCTATGATTTTGCATTGAATTCTTATGGAATTTATTGTTAATGTAAAAATTTTTCACATTAAAAGCATTGGTTAACATTTGCATAGGGCAATCTTTTTTAGTAATTCATGTTATGAAATTTGGAGTTTAATTTTTCAACAAAGTGATATTTGTTAATTGACTTATATAATACAATTTATTATAGACTTTCTCTGTCTCATCCGTTATTAACTCATTATTAGGGAAAAATGAATTGAAAATAATTTGCTATTAACAATTTATATATAGCTTATTAGCAAAACCACTTCAGTCTTAATAGGACACTTTTGACAATAACTGCCCCAAAGCGTAACTATGCCTAGTTTTTTGCGTGTTTCAATATCATTAATTTTCACTTATACTCAGCAAAATCTGGTGGCCGTGTTTGGGCCCACATCGAACCTGGCTGCCCGTCACGCAATGAGCATCTGCGACGCCAAGGAGCTGCCCTTTCTGGACACGCGCTGGGACTTTGAGGCTCAGCTGCCGACCATCAATCTGCACCCCCATCCGGCAGTTTTGGGCGAGGCCCTGCGGGACATGGTGGCGGCGCTGGGCTGGGAAAGCTTCACCATCATCTACGAGTCGGGCGAGTACTTGGCCACCGTGCGGGAGCTGCTGCAGATGTACGGCACAGCCGGACCCACGATCACGGTGCGGCGGTACGAGCTCGATCTGAACGGAAACTACCGCAATGTGCTGCGGCGTATACGCAACGCGGATGACTTCTCGTTCGTGGTGGTGGGCTCGATGGCCACGCTGCCGGAGTTCTTCAAGCAGGCCCAGCAGGTGGGTCTGGTGACCAGCGACTACCGCTACATCGTCGGCAACCTGGACTGGCACACCATGGACCTGGAGCCGTACCAGCACGCCGGGACCAACATCACCGGTCTGCGCCTGGTGTCGCCCGAGAACGAACAGGTGCAGGAGGTGGCCAAGGCGCTGTACGAGAGCGAGGAACCCTTCCAGAACGGTAAATCATGAAAAACGGAGTGACAGTCGTCCCACCTGCAAGTGTCGTGGTGCCTAGATCCCATGGCATGGATCTAGACAATTTATGCAAATCCGAAAGCCATTCGCATGAGTGAATTTAAATAATTGAATTTCATGTTCATGGCCCCGCAGCGACTGGTGGGGCAAACGGAAATGATAAATGACATTATCCCTTATGGCTCTCACTCGCCCACAGTGTCGTGCCCCCTGACCAACAGCATGGCCCTGGTCTACGACGGCGTTCAGCTGCTGGCCGAGACCTACAAGCACGTGAACTTCCGGCCCGTGGCCCTCAGCTGTGCTGATGACAGCGCCTGGGACAAGGGCTACACTCTCGTCAACTACATGAAGTCGGTGAGTGGGCAATGCACAGCGAGAAACTTTCGTTTATATCAATTGTCATTTTTTAATTACAAAAAAATATATGGTTATTATATAGTATGTACAACTGGTATATCTATTCTATTTCTTGCCTTTTGAAAATAACTGTTCTAAAAATGCTTATCTACAATAAGTTGTTAAACACCAAGCATGAACTTCTTAGCATTCCTTTCATCATATCAGGATAATTATATTCAGAATTTAGTGTTTTTTTCCTCCAACAAAAAGTCGTTTAAAACAACTTTTAACTTAACAAAGAAACATTTTTTTTAATATAATATTTTTACTGCCGTTATTATTCTTTTTATCTTTTTTAGTTTCATTAATTTTTTATTCATACATGAAAAACATGTTGTCTCTTAATTTTGAAAACCATAACATCTGATATTGATTTTTTCTCTGTATGGATAACTGGCTGATTCTGAATAACTCATGCACGAGTCTCGCTCCACAGCTAACGCTGAGTGGCCTCACGGGTCCCATTCGCTTTGACTACGAGGGACTGCGCACGGATTTCGAGCTGGAAGTCATCGAGCTGGCCGTTTCGGGGATGCAGAAAATTGGCCAATGGAGCGCCGAGGATGGCTTTGAGGAGAATCGCCCAGCTCCGGCGCACTCCTTGGAGCCGGATATGCGTTCGCTGGTGAACAAAAGCTTCGTCGTCATCACGGCCATTGTGAGTGGGTAAACTTTAGGGGTTAAACTTCGACCTTGAAATTCCTTTTTCGTTTTTGTAACCCCCAATCGCAGAGTGAGCCCTATGGCATGCTCAAAGAGACCTCCGAGAAGCTGGAGGGCAACGATCAGTTCGAGGGCTTTGGCATCGAGCTAATAGACGAGCTGTCCAAAAAGCTGGGCTTCACCTACACGTGGCGCCTCCAGGTGGACAACAAGTATGGCGGAATTGACCCCAAAACGGGCGAATGGAATGGCATGCTGCGCGAGATAATGGACAGTGTGAGTTTTGGGCAGTTTGGGGAAAGGTAGGGGACCACCACACCAGGACATAAATCTAATCGACATCCGTTGCCCTGCGGCCATTTAAATCAGTAGACTTATCCTTTGTGCGCCCTGTGTGCAAATTGATTTACTTTGAATGGCCATAAGTGCTGTCATCATCGTTTACGTAATAGTTAATGCTGCCGTAAATGGCAGATTATTTGCAGCGACTACAATTGACCCAAATTAACAAGTTTTTTACTTAACCATTGAATTTTTCTCTTTTTGGCCACGAGTTTAATATTACTTAACTTTTCAAAACGTTAACTCCAAAGTAAATTTATACTTGTTTTACAATATTATTATGTTGAAATATTAAGTAGAGAAAAATAATGTAATTTTTAACAATTTCAATTTTTATCAAAATTTCAATTTTGAATCAATTCCAAAAAATGGAAATATATTAATACAAATTTTTTTTCCGGCTAGCCGTTAAAGTTTTTTTTAATCTTTAGAATGTTTTTCTTTGTTTAGTGTTCGCAGTTGGCTACCATTTTCATTAATGTTTTGAAACCGAAATGGTAGTTCGGTTGAATTGGTGCCACGTCTTTTCTCATTTTCCTTCTTTTTATTAAACAAAGATCCAACATATCGAAACCCGACTCTGCCTAAAAAATTTACAAATATAGATCCAATTACTCCGCCCTGTGGCGGTACTCCATAGATCAAAACTTTGCGGTACTTATCGTATTCTCTGATGAACCTCTCAAATTGTTGCTTATCGGCATTGGTTACAGGAACATCATTGGGGTAGCGACGATAAAAGGCGACCAGCTCCGAAAGGTGTTCTTCCCTAGTTGGGTTATTAACAGAGGAATTATGAAAGATGACCAGTATTAAACGTCTATTGGCCTCATATTGTGAGCCGTTTATTTCAGCATTTGCTGAACAAATGAAGCTTACAATCACGGTTAGCAGACTGCTAAAGTAAACCCTCATAGCTTGTACGGATGATAGGAATACCCTATCTATTATTGTTTCTAGAATCTATAATATATACACCTGCAATGGTGTATTGTGTGATTTTAATCTATTTAATTCCCGTTTCCATAAAAACATCTGATGACTGACATGACGCATAACATTCGACTTTATGGAAACTTTAAAATTTAAATTATAAAGCATAATAGAAAAACGTATTTTTTCATGGTCATGGTGTGTGCGCTTTGTAAATTGAAAAATTCATAATTCATATATAGCTCTGTTAGAACGCTTGATTGGGCGTATGCACACTATTTACAAATGCATTTAAATTTCTATTAATAAATGCATGAGTTCGTTCATGCAGAGAGCCATACAATAATCTTTCATATTTAATTAGCGCGCTGACATGGGCATTACGGACCTGACCATGACTTCGGAGCGGGAGAGTGGCGTGGACTTCACCATACCCTTCATGAGCCTGGGTAAGAGCATTAATTAAGGTACAAATATATTTAAATAAGGTACAACACAAAATGGCAAACAAAATAATCGGTATTAGTGAACTTATTATTTGATATATATATAATTTGAAACACGGTCAAAAGGTTGATTTAAAAAAAACTAATGCTAGCCATTATATGATATTAGGCATCTGATTAAGTCAACTGGTTTTTAAATATGTATATTTTCCTTTTCATGTGACTACTTTAAGTCTGATTACAATTGCAGGAATCGGCATTCTGTTCCGCAAGCCGATGAAGGAGCCACCAAAGCTCTTCTCCTTCATGTCGCCGTTTTCAGGGGAAGTCTGGCTGTGGCTGGGTCTGGCCTACATGGGCGTATCGATCAGCATGTTCGTCCTGGGTCGCCTTTCGCCGGCGGAGTGGGACAATCCGTATCCCTGCATCGAGGAGCCCACGGAGCTGGAGAATCAGTTTAGCTTCGCCAACTGCCTATGGTTTTCCATAGGCGCTCTGCTTCAGCAGGGATCTGAACTGGCTCCCAAGTGAGGATTACCTGCTTTTCACATATAATTTATATTTAACATTGAAGTAAACCAAACGCATTGTGTTTATTGCAGGGCTTACTCAACTCGAGCCGTGGCCGCATCCTGGTGGTTCTTCACATTGATTCTGGTCTCCTCCTACACGGCCAATCTGGCTGCCTTTCTCACCGTGGAGTCCCTGGTGACACCCATCAATGATGCCGATGATTTATCGAAGAACAAGGGCGGTGTGAACTATGGCGCCAAAATTGGGGGTGCTACTTTCAACTTTTTTAAGGTGAGATGAAGTGTGTAAGAATTAAATTCATTTGTTTGTATTTTTTAGGAATCCAACTATCCCACCTACCAGCGGATGTACGAATTCATGAGGGACAATCCTCAGTACATGACCAACACCAACCAGGAGGGCGTGGATCGTGTGGAGAATACCAACTACGCCTTTCTGATGGAGTCCACCACCATAGAGTACATCACAGAGCGTCGGTGTACGCTCACCCAGGTGGGAGCGCTGCTGGACGAGAAGGGCTATGGCATAGCCATGAGGAAGAGTACAAAGAAGGCCACTTCGGTGATTTCCAAGCAGATCCTAACCGAGATCCCTTTCAGACTGGCCGTACAGGGACACACTCAGCCAGGCAGTGCTGGAGATGCAGGAACAGGGCCTGCTGACCAAGATGAAGACCAAGTGGTGGAAGGAGAAGCGCGGCGGGGGAGCCTGTTCGGTAAGTTACCAATCTCCCAATCTCAATCTCTAGCAGCTCGTGCATGTGTGGGTGTGTGCAGGATTCGGACGAGGACTCTGGTGCCGTGGCCCTGGAGATTAGCAATTTGGGCGGCGTTTTCCTGGTGATGGGCGTGGGCTCCTTCTTCGGCATATTTGTCTCCCTGCTCGAGATGGTGCTGGGCGTTAAGGAGCGCAGTGATGAGAACCAGGTATCCGCCAGGACATTATCCATACCCCGCCTTACGATCCGACTAGCTGCTGGCCTGCCCTCAATGCACAGACACAGACACACACACACCCGAAAACCTGCACTGTGAATTGCTTGCCGTGACATCTCCGACATCCTTCGACATCCCGCAGGAAGCTGCCGACTCGGATGCCTCCTCGCTGGGCTTTGCCAATTTGGGCGGCGTCTACCTGGTCATGTTCGTGGGCAGCTGCTTTGGCAGCGTTTACGGCCTGGTTAACTGCGTGGTCAGCGTCTATTTGAGTGCGCGGGAAAACAAGGTAACGCGGGTGGCGCTCTATAAATATTCTTATAATCACCTGTGTCGCGACTAAAAATGGCGGTTTAAAGGTCGCCCTAATCTGAATAACGGATTCGTTTCATTAGCTCCCCAATACGACAGCTCGGAGCCAGAAATACGTTCCCAGCCTATTCAACTAAGTCATCTTTAATATTTCATTTTTATAATCTCATAATACCCAATCTAACACGGTTTATATTCATGAATGCTTTAATAGATACCGCCTGCATGTTAGTTTCTCCTCTTTGCCCACATATATTTGCCTTATTAATGTTGTAATCATACCGCCAGGTGAATTTCAAAACCGAACTTCTAGACGAGCTTCGCTTTATAATACAATGCTCGGGAAATACCAAAGCAGTCAAGTACCCAAAGAACTCTTCGCGATCTAATGCCAGTTCGAAATCAAAGGGCTCTTCCATGTCCGTGGATTCGTTGCCGGAGGATCCCTCAGAAGCGGCATCTGGCAAGCATAATAATGCTAAAAAGTAATGGACGTTTACTTCTTTTGTAGGCCTACAAAAACTTACTGAATATCGAAAGCCACCCCTTTACAAGTGTAAAATAAAAGAATTAGTAAAGAATAATATAATTATATTTTGTTGACTAAATGGATGTGCCTTACTACGAAGGGTATCATTGGAAGTTTTTAATTTAGTTGTGTTTTCTTTTTTATTTAAGTCTTCGAACTCGAAAGCGAAATGATTAAATGAAAAATGTATATATTATAAAGATAAGCATTTAAGCTGATTACTTAGAAAAATATATACTATGGGTTATTTTATCAACGCATGCTTTGTTATCAGAAAATTAATGTGCTATAAATAAAACTCAAGCAGGAAATATATACTTCCACATTCACAATTTGGAATCCGTGGCATTCCTATCGTTCCTATGGCAGCTTTATTAAATTCATTTTATAATATTCTGATTGTTTCTATGTTAACCAATCCCGCTCGTCCCGATTTAAAAAACTACTTGCAATAGAAAGACACCTTTTGGGAATGTTTTAAGCAGAAGCTTAAAAATGAGAGATAAGTTTGCGTTGCAATTTTCTGACTGAAATTATTATAACCTCTGCAAGGGTATACAAATTTTCGAGCTTTTATGAAATGTAATAACGTAAATGTAATGTAAAATAGTCTCGAAAAAGACACCATTAGCAATGCCACAGCTAGAGGTCGCTAGCAGTTGTGTAAAATTGATGTAGAATAATAAAGGCAAACAATTGTGGGCGTCTCTCTGCCATTTGTGAAATTCCAGGGTCGCAATTTAAAAAAAAATTAAGGGGTTATCTTTAATTGTTTTTTTTTTCATTAAAAATCCTGTATATTTTTGAACATACACAACATATGTAAATGTCTTCGAATGAATTGCACTCCAATGCCATCTTTTTAAATGAAAACTTTTTTTTTTTAAATTAAATATGTTTATTCACTTTTTGTCTTCGTTTCTTTAATTAATCATTTCATGTAAAAGGCAAATATTAATAATATGTAGTAAGAAAAGAAGAGGCTATTGGGTACATCCGATAGAGAGCGCAGTGAACGGTAAGGCGGAAATGAAACAACAGTTTATATCCTTTTGCATATCAATGTATTTATGGATTTCCTCATATTATTGAGTGTCTTGACACATATTTTTACTTATACATCCAATATAATGGTAACTTTCCTTGCGGAAACACATTTAATGCTTTTTGTTAGACACTGAGATGTTGAAAAGGTAAAATTGTACGAAGTTTTTTGTTTGTAGGAATACCGACCGTTCATGTTTCCTCATGTGGATCTGTATTTATAAGTACGGCTACACGTGTATATGTTGTTTATCGTGTATAAGTTGTATAATAATACGAATACCATTACCATATATAACTATTGGGTTTATGTATGCCTCCGTAGGTATACAGTAATATTGCCCCAACTGTTCCATTGTGTATTCTATATTGCAATAAGTTTGTATTTGCCACATTCACACACTTACATGCACACATTTGTTAATTTATTTTGATTAAACTTCAAAACTTTAATACCTGATCATTACATTTTAGTTTTAGTTAGTTTAGCTATAATTGCATAGTTGTATATTATCTGTTTTTGTGTTATATGTTTTGTTTCATTTATATCCCATCTTTATATGTAAATTGCGACAAACATTTTTCAAATTCAAATTTAATGCTCAACATTTAACTACGTAAACAACAGAACTCATCGCTTAGTCTTAAAAATTTAAATTAATTTTCATTAATTCACTTTATAATATGGATTTGGATAATTTATTTACTTCTCCAACATTCAATTATCTATTTTGATTTATTTATGATGAGTGTTATTCCGCTGATGCAGTTTCATTTTTGTTGTTGTTGAAAGGCTATCTGGTAATGATAGCTATGTGTGTCTATGTGATATAAAACGCTGGGGAGGTAGGCAGATAAATAATATATAGCTTAAAGCGTTCGGAAATATTGGTGGGACGCCAAGTAAGTGTTAGTGGAAAATTAACCGGCAATTGAAAGCCGTGAAGCGTTCAATAGACAGGCAAACAATTGTTGGACTAATTTATGCACTCAATTGCACTTTCATTGATAGCTGCGGCTATCCAAAACCTGTTTCTGATTTGCTTATGTACAGATAAGTATGCACTGCCAGTGTTATCCTTTGTGTATCGGTGGGTGTGTCGGTAGAGTTATAGCAGTAGAAAGGGTCCTGTCATTTCTGCCATTTTCGTTCCCCGGTGTTTAAGTGTGCAGTAAATAAAATAGAGTTTCTATCGAAACTAACATAAACGGAAATTGTGGGCTTCTAGCTCATGTAAAAAGTTGTAAGCTCGTCTAGGTTTTCCTTTGGTCTTTTGTATTTGAGTGAATGCAGTTGAGGTATTGCAAAGCTGTATGTTCAACAACAAATACATGAATAACATACATCTTAGCAGAACTTATGAAATACGCATTTTGATTTCGGCTTGTTTGCGCGTAGTAGAGGACTTAAAGCTGAACGTTTCGATACACACATAAAGCATTTGCTTGTTACTAATAGTTACTGGCAAAACAGAAAATCAACAATCAGTTAGATTCTAGGATATGGGTTTCTCAACGTCTCCACGAATTGGTGTTGTCTTAAAAGGTGTTAAGAGTTCTCGTATTTGCTCACATCGATCGGGAATAATTCCCTCATATTGTCTAACTAGGTAAGTAATACATCTAGGCGTGGGGTTTATTTAATATAATTTGATACACTTCGGTAATTAGTATAATATTTTGCTAGCGGCTAATCTTTACTTCAATGAAAACTTAAAGGTGGGAAGGTCAAGCCAAACCAAAGAATTATTAGCTCCCTATCAACTGCTGCAGTTTAGTTTGGTTATTTCACAATTATATTTCATGTTCTATATTTATGTGTATAATACTAGGCTCAGGATATTGTAAGAAGTACATACAAATTACACAAAGTTGTGTTTTATTTATCATTTGATATTTCGTTCACTATTTTATCAATAAATATCTTGTGTTTTGTTTTTTGTTTTTTGTAGGTTTTACTTTGTATTCATCTCAAAAGTTCATTAAAATAAATGCCTTTTAGTTTGTTTGCTGGCACTTTAGTGCCGAAGAGCATCCAAGTGTTTGTATCTGATAATGTAGTGTAAATAGTTCCTTGTTCAGTTGGTGGTGGTTGGTGGTGGGGTCTGGGTGATGTTAGTTAGTTTGTAAGTTGGTTGATTAGTTTGTCTTTGCTTGCCTTTGAGTGTTGACTAGAAGGGCCGAAGGAGGTTTGTGAAACCCACATCCTCCGCCGAGGAGGAGTTTCGAAGAAGATGTTCGGAAATTTCTAAATCACTCCGGAATTCTTCAGAAATTCGCATGCGAATTCAGCGCACATATGTACACACTTGCCGCGGTCCTAGGTCCTGCGCCTGTGTATGCTACTGTTTGTATTGGTATTGCTATTAGTTTTTGGGCCCTCTCAAATGACACTCATGCGACGCCTGCCATTTCCGGTGCCCTCGGCTCAGTTGGCGTTGGCCAGCGTCTCGTGGCACACCTCCATGTAGTCGGGATCGTGCATGATTCCTTTTATCATATCCTTGAGCATTGTGTAACGTGGAAATATGGGATACATCTTGGAGCTGCCGTACTCCTCCTGCGGAATCAGATAATCAGATCGGGATCTCAGACGCGATTTTCACTCACCTTCAGCACACGGATAAGGTGTCGCAGTCCCAGATACTTTTTCAGCAAGCGGTACAAGTCGTTTATCAGCTGCGTATTCTCGTGCTCGATTTGGGCAGTTGTCATATCTGTGGATGATTGGGATTACTTCTCAATATTTATCATAGTGGTCAGCTGATTCCACTTACGTTCTAATCGCTCCATGCGCTCCCGTCGTTCGGCCGCCTCCTCAGCCAGTCGGGCGGAGGTCTTCACACCCTCGCCGGACTTCTGCGTCTTCTCCATAATCGAGCAGGCCCGCATCACGTAGGAGGGCACCGTCTCCTGCTTCTCCTGCCGCGGGATGTCCACCAGAGTCCAGTACTGGGTCTCCAGGCGGATGACTTCCTGTAGGGCATATAATCAATTGTCAAAATATACACGTTCCTGGCTTCCTTTATATAAAAATAAGTAATAGTCTTAATCATTACTTCAAAATATAAGTTATTTTATTAGTCAGAATATCATAGTAAGTTAGAATACTTATTTAAAAAAACATTTTCAACGTGCAGCAGCAAACGGCATAAATCTTATGAACTCCAACCTTTTTTAAAATACAACTTTTTTAATTTTCGCTAGCACCAAAAAACCAAAGGAACCATTCAATTTTGAGGATTATTTTTTTTTTTGTTTCAGTGTTCTGTGCAACCATTTTGTATTATCTCGAATATACAATATATACTATGAACACCAAATTTAAGTTATTCCTCGTAGAACCGCGAAGCGTAATCTCCTATTGATTGTCTCGTCGCAGCAGTAGCTTATTCTTTCAGTAGCAAGCAATCAGAGTACCCGAATATATTCTTTCCGTGATTTTTTTATTCACAGCGGTAAATATTATATTTATATTCTGACGCATGCAAATTATATAGCATAATATGATCTATTAGTTATTTTAAATTACTTGATCCTTTATTGATTCTTAATTGGATAGCCTACGCATCCCATTGATTTTCATTGGAAGGAACTCTAATTCTCAAGTAATAAATATATGATGTCTATTCTATAATTTTTAATTTCAAAGGTATGTAATTAGATCTGTTTTGTTTAGCTCTTTCATATTTGAGTCTTAAAACCCATGGCTTTAAAACGTGCACGTTACTATGTATATACTTACGGTTCAGATAGACCTTGAGCTCTAATCTATTTTGTTTAAATTCATTTATTTTGTTTTAATAATTTTGCTATTGATAAGTGTGACTAACCTTAATCATCAGCTTGAGCATGGGATAGCGCTGGAAGATGTTGCGCTGGCTCTTCGAGTCGCCGTACTTGTTCATGAGGTTGATCAGCGCCTTCTTGGCCGTTTCGTAGGACTCCTCCAGGCGCAGCCGCAGGGATCGCAGGCGCTCGTTCGTCTCGATCACCTCGTCCCGCGTCATGCCGCTGGGCGCCCCCTCGTCCTTCACATCCTGCACGATTCGCCGCACACTCTGCGTGAACTTGCCGACAAAGTTTGTGGTTGCTGGTTGCAGGGAACAAAAAAAATAGACAAATTAATCTGATAAAATATAATTGTACGGAAATTGCACGAAACACTGTCATTCATTATTCCAAATGTCAGTAGACACGCGCATTAACCCTTAATTAATCTGCGATTCATTCGGAAATTATTCGACTATGGGAAAGTCAAACTATTATGCCATGATGAAATCGCATCCAACGGATGCCCTTTTACATTAAAAATACTTTCCCCCCCCTCCACTATTCTTCTATTTTTATTTTTTTACATCGCTCTAAGAACGACCGTGCTGGGAATCGAACCCGCGACAAAAGTACGGTGGCGACTGCGGGCACACCGCTCTACCCGCACTACCACGCCTGCTATCAGATTATGGCTGTCTTATGTTCGGTTTGATGTCGTCGCTATATATAGCAATTTGCATTCCTCAACTTAAAAATTTTTTTTTTATAAATCAGTTTTGGGAATTTACAATCACTCCATTCTTTCCAAACAGAATTAAATTACATCATTATATTATTAGACATCATCTTATCACTTATTATGTATTGTTTTATAATCATTTAGAATTTCCTCTGAATGAAAAAGGTTTTTTATATGCGATTTTATAATTAATTCACCAAATACTTCGTTTTTTGTTTGTTTATTTATAAATAACTTTACTATTAAGCTAAGTTTTCGAAATATTTTATAGTTTTTTTAGATCATCCTAATACAACCTTTATGACAATATCCATTTAATAAATAAATCTAACTTATAAAAGTGGGTTAAAATGTTTGCGATATATTGTTGTAACATCATATGCTAGTTAAAAGTTTTAGGCAATGTATTTTTCTTCAACGTCAAATTCTAATTTATAATTTAATTTGAAAAGGGGTTTCAATGATAATTTGTTCGTTAAAAATGTCAAACTGAGAAATCAGTAAAAAGTTTGTTTGTTAATTAAAAGGAAACATTTGTAAGCATAGCCGACAATTTTAGAACTTTTTAAGACGTAATGGCCTCATAAAACCTTTTTGAACAATTATTTCTTAAATGGAATAATAAAGTTGGTTCATTTGCATTTGCATTTTTATTGGCCAATGGGCCTTCATTTTCACGATGCCAATAATTTTTAGCCATTATTCAATGGGAAAACTCCAGCATCATTTGTGTGCCGTTTAATGGGCTTTTCGTTGAGATGGCTAAGAGTGCAATTAGCATTCGTCATTGTCAGTCCGTTTCTGCGTCCGTAAACGTGACATATTTCAGTCCCGTTCTTGATTTGTGTCTTGGGTTGTGCCGGTGACTTAAAACGCTGCAAATAAGTCGAGCATTGCATCTACATGCACTTGGCCATCGGGGCGCTCCCCTTTACAATTAGAAACCCAGCCATCTGTGGATTCAGTCAGAGACATTCCCTTATGTGGAAAGCGCATTGTCAGTTTCCTGCTGTGAATCATTTTCCGACACAAAGATCCCGCATTGTGGGTGTCTGGAAAACCTAATGGCTGATGGATGAACTATGTTGAAGGACTTTGCCCGATGACGATGATCGTGACGTACCGTTCACAGAGACTTTGATCAATCCGCTACAAACCATTTCTCTGGCATTACAATAGGTTTATTGTTTTGTTAAGAGAGCACCAAAGAGCAGAGCTTTTTATGCCCCAACCGTCTCCCTCTCTTATTTAGTCTTGCCCAGTTTAAAGTCTATACATATAGTCGTCTACCAGAGAGATATAACATCAGTGCCAAGTCGAAAATCTCGCGGGAAGCACTGCCTGTGCGAGAGATCCGCGAAAATAACATAAAGGCAAAAAAAAAAAAAAAAAAAAAAAATAAAAGAAAAAAGTAAACGTGAGCGCGATAAATACCAAAAACAAACAAAGAGCTAAGCAAAATATATAAACAACTAGATACATACACGAGTACAATACGCTAAAAAGAACTGTGAATACATAAGCATAACGACAATTAACCTTACGAATTATTATTGGGTTCAATTTCTTAAATCAAGAGAGCAGACTAAAAGCTATATAAGAACTGTTTAACGCGAACTTCGAAGTGAAAAGATTGGCGAGTGGGATCGAGAGATAGCTCGGCACAAACATATAGTAGCCATATAGGTGAGTGTCATCTGCTCGGTCGGGCTTATCGGCTGAGACATGTGCTTGGTCGCACCATATCCCAGGGGTCCTAATTGGTTTATTGGCTTGGCAAATTTTGCCAATGGTTATTGACTGGCTTTCGACCAGTTGGCCTTCTGATCGGCATGCGCTTTTTGCCAGTGCAACAAATTTCCATATAAAAAGGGCATTTAATCCATGTTTGAGTTTTTCATCCCTCTTTCCCGTTCGACTATGGTAGGAATTTTTTATGTGCAGTATTGCTTTATTTACCATCCGTTTTTGCTGGCTTGCAAAAAATTTGATTTTCAAAGAATTTTTTTTCAAGCTAACATAAATTGTTATTCTTATAACCCAAGGGGATCGCATTATCTGATGAACTTTCCAAGCTTATTGTTTCTATTTTTTGTTGATAACAGTCCTTCGCTTTTGATAACCTTTTGATACTCTCTTGACAAGAATAAAAATAAAGTTATGAAAATGTTTAAAGAACCTTTTTTATATACAGCAATAAAGTTGATTTTCTTGGAAGTATTTCTAAGGTTATCAAGCCGGTTTGTATTAAAAAAATTTTTGAAAGCTTAAAGAAACAGCAATGTTTATTTGTTTATATTAAAAGTATGAATTACAAATTATGCAAAGTAATATATATCTAAATAAATTTTGTAAAATTCATAAAAGAAAATATTATATGTTATATCTTTTCCAAAATGTTTAGTCGATAACATGTTCCTTCGTTTCTAGATCAAAGCACGTAGCTAATAATTATTTGCAGTTTAAATAACAACAAATCAGCTTCTTAACGATTGCATTCCAAGTTTATAAAACAATAAGCAAACCAATCAACAATTATAGGTAGATATTACGATTTGTATCACGATTCGAGGGCCATTGTCATTGATCAGAACAGCCGCTTATATAGGAAAAAACACCTTTTAGCCAGTTTAACTCGTTTCGCGGATTGTGGAGGTGCAGAGCTCACGCTCCTGAGACTGTGTCGTTCAAAACTGGAATTGTCCCAGATATTTTTCCCTATATCTAGAGACAGCCAGACAGAGGACCCTTTATACATAATCCGCTTGTGCTCTGATTCACTTGTTGGCCGACTGCCGAACTGTCATCATGCCGTAATACATTAGTCTTTCGGTTGGATAGGTGGGGCTGTAGGGCGGTGGGCGGTGTGTTTATAGGCGGTTTGGGGGCAAAAACTCTCTCGACCTTCCCGCTCATCCCATTGATATCAGCGAAAACGACAAGCGGAGTTTGTTTGACTGGTGAGCGGCGGAGAGACGACTAATGAGCAAAACGGCTTTTGTTTGTCTTTTTAGCCCCAAAGTTCCCCAGTCGACGCTCTTCGGGGTTCCAGTTAACCAGAGTACCTGCGTAAACCAGTTTTTGCTAATTTGGCAAAACACAAAAAAACCGCCGACATATGTACGCTTTTTGGTGCGGGGGCCTGGGCTTTAATATGCTGTTTGTCTTTCGGCTTGGGCTGCTTTTTTGATACTGAGACAGCGACTAAGAGGAGTACACAGCACATAATTTGGCCGAGAGCAAACGAAACGTGTCGTTGCCTCTCATTGTCTTCATTGGAGCTGAAAGATACTGAAAGTATCTGAAAGATACTTCTCGCTTCGCACATAATTAAAGCTCTGCACGTGTCCACGATTGTGAGGATGTCTGCGTGAACGTATGCCCTTTTGGTCCACAAATATTTCAAGTTCGACATCTTGTTCTTGCCTCTTTCATGGCACTTTCCCACTCACATTTTTGAGCACGGTAATCCCCGGCTTTTGTCTGCACTTTATTTATACTTCGCCCATATTTATTGTTGATTCCTTTCTTGCTTTTAATTTGTCATTTTTTTCTTTAGCCACAAAGCCTGTTCTTTATTTTTTTAATAGTATTTATTATTGTTTGGCTGTTTTGTGACGTCGTTTCTCTTATCGGTCGTGGACTTTGGGAAAGCCAAGATTCTTGGATTTCCACAAGCATTAGTCATAGTTCAAACACTGGTCATGAATCTTAACTTTTTATGACTTACCCATGGCTCATCGTGGCCATTTTCTAGGATGCAAGTGCTATTTTTAAAGTAAATAATCACCTCAAAGGCAGACTGTAGACAACTCAAAAACACACAGGCTATCATCTGATGCACGAGCTAACTAATTGCCTGCAGTCTGTATTGAATTAAATTTATCTAAGCCCAAAACCACAGGCGCACGTCGAGACTTGAGGTTGAGGTTGGCTGATGACATATTTCCCACGCCTGCTGTGGCTTGTAACTTTTACCCCTTCTCACTATTCACTCTGAAGTGAAATCATAATTTTCAAGAAAATTTCTAGTTTTATGCACTCTGGGTTCATGAAAGGTTTAATTTGCATATAGTAAATAGTAATAACTATGATGCATGGCTTAAGCCAACCAGTTAAAGCTGTAGACCTGACGTAATCGAACGCAAAACCAGTTCGATTATTTGTATAGCCCACTTAATGGCATATTCTTGTTCTTCCGTTCTTGAGCTTTAATCATCACACCTGTCAACGACCTTCAGTCTCAAATCAAAAGTCTCATAAGCAAACACTCAAGAAAACCCTCAATTAAATTTGAAGTCTTGCTCTCAACTTTAGAGTAATTTGATCAAAACATTGTCATAAATTCCTATAATTAAAGCGAGTAATGGCTTTAAATTAAACGGGAAAAAACCTCAACTGACGTCAATTAAGTCGAGCAACCAAAGCGCTGATACTCTAAAGCCCTAAAAAAAATTGAGTTTTGCGAATTATACTGTGCATCCATTAGCCAATACATTTCAACCACACGGAGCTGAAATTTCTTTTCTTTTTAAGTAGCAGTTTTTTATTGCATAATTAAAGTATCATTGAGTACAGGGTAAACCACTACTGTCTCTAAGAGCAAACAAATGGCTGCACAAAAAATCAGCTACGGGTCTAATCATAAATAAATAGCGTGTGCCATTTATGAGTCCGATCTAGGTAGCGTTTTATATATCCGCTGGCTAATGAGCATCAGTGATTAGATGTACGGATGTAATAATTACTTTTGGAATCAGAGTTCCCGAGCTCAAGAAGGAAAACATATATATGTTTCGGTCATGCTCAGTGGCTTTGATGGTTTTAAGCGGTGAATATGTCACTCGCATGAGATCATACAATGGCTTTGGAAGTGGTGGCCTATTGTCTGAATCTCTCCCAATATTTCAAGCTCATCGTTATTACCATACGCCATTGTCTGCATTGGGAATCCTGGTTACTAATCACATTAAATTCGGCTGAAAGTCAAATGAATCATTTGTTAGCTTATATATATTTGCTTATTTTTGGCTACGTTATACCTGCAAATATTTAGCTTGCTTGTCGTACTCGATTACCGCTGACCTTCCGCCTGCCGACATGAATTTGTATGCAAAGGGTGTGGCGCTTCCATTTCCCATCAATAATCGAAACTAAGCGTCTCGACCCCGCTAATCCTAGTGGCACGTGCTTATTACCGCCACTCCCCAAAAACCCAAGCCCAAAACCCAATCCCGAAACTCTAGCCCCAATCGCAATCCCTCTTCCCAGAAGCCCAGAAACCGTTGAGTTTGCTCAGCGTGTTTTAATTAGTTCGGGTTGGCAAGGACTAGCTTCGCAGCGAAAACGCTTTTTGTTTGACTAATTGACCGCATTTGGGAGCGCGTGTCTGTGGGCGCTCAGGCCACGCCCCCCGTCAACGCCCCCATCAATCATCGACAAATTCGGAAATTTCGACACGCCTCAGATTTATTGAACTCGTGCAACGTGCCTCTGCATTTCGAGCCAAGTTAAGTGCATTTTCCAGAGCAACAGGATGCGTCATTTGCATTTGGACACCTAATCTTTGGGTGTGCCCATAACAAATGTGGCTTCATTTAATACCCGAAGTGACAATATTGTGGATTAGTCACCTACAAATGTTGTGGCTGAAAAATGTCACCCTAAATGGAACATAACATCGTTGTTTATTGATATACGAGAATTATAGCTGATGAATAGGTTCATTAAGATTGGTTTAAGCTGTGTAAATATTATTCAGCGAAATAAACAGATCAAGGCATGTTTAAAGGAAATGACAGCATCAGGCAATACAAGATGCGCAATGTTTTCACCCGTAAAATTACTACGTTTGTCTCACCTGTGCCTAATCCATTTTGCAACTCCGAGTAAAGTTGCTCTTAAGCCACCATTTCTTCCTGGTCATTCGGACTTGACCTCTATGTTGTGAAAGTCTGTGCAAAAGTTTTGTGGTCATCCGACATTCGGCTCAGGGTTTCGCACAGACCGCAGATACTAACTGAGTTGTGGGCCATCAAAATAGCCCAATCAATAAGCAGCCACAATTCCAGGATGTTCCCGGCCAACTTGGAGTCTTTGATTTGCCCATAAATTCCTGGACACAAGTGACAGCTAAAGTTTTGGTTCAAAATGCCAATTTGTTGGCTGTTAAATTGAATTGAAGCATCGAATCGAATTAACATTTGAAAATACCCAGCCAGAAGTTTAATGGCGGAGGAAGCTGACACTTTCTTTTTATGCCAAATTTAATATGCACTACGGGGCAATGCCATAAAGCCACTCAATATTTAATGTACGTATGTTTGGGCCGCACTTGTAGCAGTGCCGCCTGCTGGGGGGTGTTTGCCCCAGTCTGGCATTTTCATTAAAACTTTAAGTCACTTACGGTGCCGTTATTTGATGCTACTATTTTGCATTATTCAAGGAACTGCCACCAATGCCGCAGTTGGGCAAACACAACAAACACAACCGCACTCACAGTGAGTAGGCTGCAAATCCTTCGGATTCGTCCTTGTCCTTGGTAGGCCCGTCGGGCAACACAAATAGACGTGTGCCAAAATACACAAACAAATGCGGAGCAAACGAAGCGAAAGTCTCGGAAGGCACACATGAGACCCAAAAAACAGGAAAAAAGGGAAGATGGAGCCGGGATGAGACACGAAACGGGACAGCGGATCCATTTGTGTCTGGGTAGTTGAGCCGGCGTTTGAACTTTGCCATTTAGGGCAGCCCCAAAAAATGTGCCCAAATAGCGAACCGTCTAAACAAATACGGAGGGCCATTCGAGGAGTGACAAAGGCACATGCAAAGGATGGGCGTCCAATTGAAGCCACAGTTTAGCAGTCGCACAAGGGCGGGAAGCCTTCCCAACATCCAACAGTGAGTAGCGGCAACAGCGTCCATGATAATGGCAATCTGTCAGTTCTGGCCAAACTAAACAATGGTCGCACCACACACGCTCAAACGCTCACACGCTCACAAAAAATAGACAGGATAACGCATTCAGCCAGCGAGACAAATTGACAGACAATTTAGCTGTCAATTGTGCGTTGCCTGCTCGGTCGACAGTTGAACCAACATCCCGGCAGTCGGCGAATGACCTTATTAGTTTTGCCCCGAAGCCAGACCATCGCCAGAAAGTCTTAGTCTTAGCTTTAGCTCTAAAGATATATATTTAAAATATACTCATGAAGCCTAGGCGACTAATAAAGAAAGCTTACTACTTAAATCTAATATAAAATGTTAAAATACAAAATACTTAGTTCACTTAAACATTTTTGTTACATTGTTGCATGATTTTATTCGACTTTATTTAATTTAGTTTACTGCAGATGACTATTACTAAAGGATCATTGTTAAGTTTTACATTTTATGATTAAACAACAATTCGTTTATGTTCGTAATTAGATCGACTATTGCTTTAGTTAAAAAAATGTTCCCTGCCAAAACCCAATTTTGTATATGAATTTAAAAATCAAACAATATTTCAAAAGTTGTGAGTTAAATTATTGATTATATTATTAATAACATTTACACCATTAGAGCCAGTAAAAGACTCAAATTGCATCTAAGAAAACTCAACAATACCACTAAATATACGCAGAAATAATACACAAAATGACAGATAATAGATAAAACTCAATAAGAGAGTACATTCGGCGGGAAGTTGAGGATTTCAATTAATCCGAGCCATAAATGCAAAGCACGCAGAATAAAAACGGCGATTTGCCGGATGACAGTTGAGCCGATCCGGCTGCAGGAAGCACTAAGTGCTTAAGGCGTTGTTGCCAGGACAATGAATATGCTTGTGTAAGTAGCAGTAAGCACAGCTGCTTACTTTGGGGCATTTATCATACGCCGCGTGGGCCAGGCGTTGACATAACAATTAAGGAAATCGGCCGTGCTTTGGGGAAGATGGCGGGTAAAATACCTTGCCGGATAATCTATTTCCAGTTATATTTCATAACGACAGCCTGCCACTGACATTTCTCTTCCCACCCCTCGTCCTGCCCTTAGCTAGAATTTATATATTTTTGCCATTCCCTCTTGCCCAAGACGTTTAGATCCCGCTGCTGAGTGCATATAATTTCGTTGGCTTTGGCTTTGCGCAACTTTTGCAATTAAACCTGCAACTGCAGCCAAGTAGCCGAGTGGTTGCTCACAAAGTGCCATCAACTTTGGCGGCACTTCAAGTGGGAGGAGCTCGACCAGACCGCAACTACCTAGTGCTTGACAGACTGGTACTTGTTGTGCTTTTAACATGTTAATATTGTTTCCCATTCCGTTTGGAGATCCTAACCCCCACCCACCCACCACGCACCACTACTCCCTCCCGTATTTTCGCAATTTTCGTTTGCGGCTCGTGCCGCTGTCATAGGGTAAGGCTCTCTGATGTCGGGCATTGCGAATGAAGTTAAGTTCCCATGAATGTGTCAGCCAGTGTGTTTTGTTGTATTCCCTCGTTATTGTCCCTGTTGTTGGCTCGTCATCAGCCAGAAGACAGGACATTCAGGACATTCAGGACATACAGGACAAAGCCCAGTGACAGTTGGTACACTCATACACGCTGCACTCGCTATCCTTTGTGGGCTGACGTCCCTGACGGATGTTAAAGGAGCATCTGATACCGATACCAATACCTCAACCAACGGCCCACGCAAGCCACTTGATTCAGGTCAAAGGTGGAGTGATAATGAATGCCTTGCACATTGCTCGCTGGAATTGATCACTGCATTTTACGCCTCATCCTACAGAACATATTGTATATCCATTTCGGTCGGAATGAGCAACAAAAACTTGACAAGAATAGAAGAAAACATTTTCCACTTGCATTGTTTCTCACTAGATGATGATGCCCCACTTTGCTTTGTGTGTTTGTGAGTGTGCGTGCCGCATAAATTTCATTTTGAACAATAATAAGAAAAGTTGGCTGCCGTTGGGCTGCAAGGCAGGCTTCCAGTCAGATCAAAATCACACAAGTAAAAAAAGTAAAAATGGCAACAATGGAGGACAACAAAAAAATTGTTTTTTTTTGTGTGCGTTAAATAACGCAAACACCAAAACAAAAGAGTGAAAAAAGGCGACTGCTGACAGCAGGCCAGGGCCATGTTACGTATACGCACCATTGAGCGGCCAAATCGCATTACGAACACGCCATGTGGCCGATGCAACCTGTATGCAAAAAATTCGAGCAGCTTAATTACATCCCCCAGTAGGACTGACCTACATCGATTCGGCATCGACAGCAACATCACAATTATGCAGGATTTCCAATAGCACTTTGCACAGGGTTCGATTGGTCTTCATATGGTTTTTATTATGGCTACCTGACGACATTTGCATTCTATTGAAGCTGCAACTACGTGACTTGCCTCGATGTGCGACACTTTGACACTTAAATTCAGCTAGGAAAACATCCAGGATAAGTCTGTCTTTGCATCTGAGGCCACGTCATGCTCGTAAGCCAATTAGGAGGAACAAAGGCTACCACAACCAAAGTCTTATCGTATTTCTCTGGCATAAACAATTTATGAACGAATTCTGCTAAAAAAAACACTATTAAGGCCAGCGTAAACGTAAACACTGGGTACACACAAAAAGTACAAAAAATCATTTCAAAATCACATTCGGGGGATTTTACTCACAACTTTTCGCTGATCATCACCATCGACGTCATGATGAGCATACCAAGAAAAAAGCAAGCAGTTTATTGCGTATTTTTAGGTCAGAGCAAACAGTGGATTCAATATGGCACGAGGGCAGTCGCGATTGAAGCATCTCCTTACCTCGCTGCATGTTTACCCCACAGTGTTTGCCTTTAATCGCAAATGCAATGAGTTTTCCGACTTTGATGAGTTTGCTCGCCTGGGGCCGGCAACCAAATTTCCATATCAATTAGCAACCTTCTCTCTGATCGAACATTTCCGTGTGTTTGCCCAGCCCCACCGCTGAAGTATGTCCGTATCTTTATCTATATTTGTATCTGTTTAAATATAAAACTAATGAAATCCGATTTTCCGTGCCACTTTATGGCTTTGCCCGCCATTCAGTTACTGGCCCGAAAAGCAAATTTAGCGTAGGTGGAGGCCACAGGACATGTTGCTTCGATGACACTGGGAAACAAAACTTAAGTTTTTACTTTACTTTACTCTTTAGATGACAACACAATAAGATAAACAGCAGTTTCTTTATTAAGAATTTAATTAATTTTCATTAAATGAAAAATGATCTTAATTCTCCTATTATAAAAGTTTAATATAAACATGTAAAATACTATATTTTAAGACTTCTTTAAAAAATTCTTTAAAAATCTAAGTTTGCACTGTGTTTGACAATAACAGATCACAAACGTTTGCTTTACGTAGCTTAAAACAAATGGAATAAGTCTTTCAAAATGTAGTAGAGGGAACTTGTTACCATTATATTAAAAACGATTTTCGGTAATCAGTTAAAATTGTTTTATAATATTTTGCTGCTGCTTAGTGTAATCGGCCTCGTCGACCAGGTTGTTTTGCGGCAGTGGAGTGCTTAAGGTGGGCTACACTTGGCTGACCACATCATCTTTTCGGGGCCACAGTGTTTGCGAACAAATGGCCGCACTTACGGGTAAGCGGGCCCGGCATCCGTATTACGGAATACGGAATCCGACCCAGGTCACAGTTCGCCCGGGTTCGGCTGCGCTACAGCTGGCCGTTGGCCAAAATGCACTCGCCCCGCTGCCGATGACTTTCTAATGAGTGGTAATCGGCGTTCGGCTGCATGTGTGCCTTGGACTCGGGGGAGTCTTTGGGGTGCCTGTGGTGTTCGGGTTCGGGGCAGACCGTTTTTGTGGCAACCTTGCCGCTCTTGAAATTCAATTTGCCTTTGTGAAGCACCGCAGATGGTCTGCACAGCGGTGCGCTGAGGTGAGAACTGCAAGGACTTTGCATATAATTATTAAAATGGCCGGTGACAGCAATCGTGCTATGAATAATGCCCAAACACATTTGACATCATTATAAGCGTCACATTTAATACGGCTAATAGCCGAGCTGTAAGATGTCCGTCGTATCGTTTGGATTTTTTTCACCTGAATTTGGATGGGTCATCCAACTTTTTATTACATCAACTAAATCCAATTGGGCGAAGCTGCAAGCTACACAAAAATTGTACATGCAAGAACCCAATTAAAAAAGCTTGTAGTTTCTGGCCAAAATTGGCTCGAACCAAATTAGAATACTTCGGGTTAAATATTAAAAAAATACAAATTGTATATATTCGAGAAAATTGCGGTCGCTGTCAAAATTGTCAAAAATATCAACGCTTAAAATAGATTTCTTCCGAAATTCAATTAGGAGCAGCCGGTTTTTTTCTGCAGTCTTTCCTAATATTAAAACTGAATATTAAATGGAAATTCTAAAAGCAGAAAAGAGAGAAGTGCAACATGTGTGGCCAGCAAGAAGGATTGCGCTGTGAAAATAAAACAGGGTTTTTATATTCATGAACCAGTGGGCAACGATTTAATATCCCTTTTTTGTCAGTTTATTTTCCATGCTCATTTATACATCTACCACTTGTGGCTCACTTGAATTGCCGTTGTTGTAGCAACAAATTGGGGGTAATTCCCCCAACAAACTTACAATTTCCGTTGGCTATTCACACAATTTTGAAATCGAGTTTTTGTGCTGCTCCAGGTCCTTGGGTCCTGACCCAATATTTTCAGCTTCAATAAGCAGGGTTAGTTGTGTGGCTTAGCACCCGATTGCCTGGCATTTTTGTATGAGTGCTTGTGTGGTCGTAGAACTGTCAGTCTATACTGTATATAGTTGCAACGGTGAATTCGTTAGCATACTTTTATGGGCAACAGCTGCCGCCGAAAGGATGAAATGCATTTCCCAAATTTATTTTATTTGATTCACATTGACCCTGGTTTAGGTTTTTCCGTCTGATACACAGCAACATGAGAAACTAGCAATCACCGCAACACTGTTGGGGTAAAAATATGCAAACGTTTTTGGTAATAATTACGTACAAATTCGATTGGGTAACTCGTCAATGAAGGAATTTTCAATTACTGCGATTTAGTTTGATCAAGGGCTCGGATGATTTATGATTTAACACTGTCTATGGATAATCTGCCCCTTTTACTCCCATTTCGTTCCCCTTTAATTTCCGTTAGCTGTGTTTTTACGGCTACAGGTTTTCCCTTTTGGCTGGTAATGTAATGCTTTTCTTTCTCTAATTGGTTGTCGTTTGGTTAACAGGGAAAGAAGGAAGGTTTCATAAATCAATCATCGAAATTTCACAAGCTTTATTAGGGAAACTATATACCCCTTAAAATAGCCCTTTAGCATAATACTAACGTGTACGAAATTGGTATGATCCAGATATTTATTAAAATTCTAAAGCAGTCAATAAGATAATTGTGAAATTGTCAGCAACTTTTCCAGTAAAATTGTGACTAATTTTGTTGTTATTTAATCTGTGACGTAGACTTTTATGGTATCTCGCTTGCAAAATAGAATGTATTCTCTTATCTTAGCTGACAGAGTGAGACATTGATATTCGTAAAAGACATCTGTTCTAACTGACGCATGTCATATACATATATTGAGAACCATTTGGAGCATTTGCTTTAGTCTAATTCAAACGGTCAAAGTAAGAGCACCATCGGAAATACTGAAAAAATAATTTGGCAGGGGAAATATATTTTGAGAAAGCAGACGGTTAGTTGAAGCCTAAGGATCAGCACAGAATATTAAAATGCTAAAGTGCTTAGCCATTGTCCTTCGGTGTCGAACAAGTTTTTTCCGCTTGGAAACGCTCAGCGAGACCGACCACAAGTTATGGCTGGAAGCTTTTGACGTGCTCGGGACCAGAAAAAGAATAAATAAGCAATAAAGGGCGGGAATAAAAGAGCAGAACAGAAAGCCAACGAAAGTAATTCAAAAGTTTGCCACAGAGCAGAACCGGCAACAAAAGCCAAGAAAAATTGAACTCAACTTGATGTCTAATTTAAAACAAACACCAAAACCAAGCCCGGACAAACCGAGCCAAGCCAGATCCTGATCCCGATCCGAGAAGCCAAAACAAAACCGCAACAAAATTTACAACTTCAAAACTTTGCCATCGGTGGTTGTCCTGCCTGATGTGTGTTTGTGTTTGAGTTTGCCAGGGTCTTAAGTTTCTTTTATATTTTGGATGGCGCCGGGTCAAGTACATAATTGAGATTGAACTGCGAAAACAAAGTTGAGACGGGGCCGTGGAACTAATGCACCATCTTTGCTTGCTGCCAATTGCAGACCCGCAAGCAAACCGACGGAGATGAATCGAACTAGTCGCAGACTTCCGGCGCTCTTGTTTGGCCTTCTGGTCTGCCTGGTGGCCCAGACCGCCGGTCGTCCTTCGACGGAGGACGAGAGCGACTTGGCCATCATACCGCCAGATGCCGACAATGTGGAGGTTTGTGGGGGTTCCAGCATGAAATCAAATCCGATATTCCCATACTCACAAGCTCCATTCGTAGATCCATCAAGTGAAGTTCGTAAATGGCGTCATGCAGGAGGATCATCCGGTGATCATGTACAAGGAGGACTTCGTCAGTGAAGATTATGGTAAGTTAACGGCATAATGGAAGCAAATCAAACGTGAAAATTGAAAGGCAAAACTAAAATCACTTCGCTACCACTTGAACTTTTTAGCGGCAAATTAATCATTTTGATCAGAAAAAACATTATACCAACATTATAAACATTATTACCAACATTTTGGGAATAATAATTTAAAAATTATACAAATTAAGTAAAATTACCTAAATTTAGGAAAAATTAATTTAAGATGGCGCTAAAATTTGGTCCAGTTCCAGAATTTAGGTAATTTCGGTTCTTGGTTGTTTTCTGAGTGTATATACCTATATAGGAATAAAACACATTTCTCAATTGTAACTGTCAATTTCAAGTAGATCCCACCAAGAACGAGACAACTTCTGGACGAAACAAGAAGCACAAGCGAACGCATCACCATCGTGCGGAGCCACAGCTGGAGAACGAGGGGGAAAAGATCCTTTTTGATGTCCTGCCGGACAAGCCGATCGTTCTGTCGGACGACCTTAAAACTCTTCCAGTCAGCAAGATAGAAGCCGCCCAGCTGGCAGAACCCATCAAGCTGGGAAAGCTTCCCAAGAAGTACCATAGCCGCCAGCGCCGGGATCTTCAAAATGTGGAAAGTCAGAGAGTTATCCAATTTTATCTTGACAACAAACCCGCAGAAAAGCACTATTATTTAACCTATCGGTAAGAATGAGTTGCAAATCACACATGAATGAGTGAATAACAAATTCCATTTATTTATTTTAGTATCGCGGTGTCGAATAAGAAACCCAAATTGACGGAAGAGAAGGATAGAAGATATGGGCAAACAAACTATTTTAAAACACAGCAATCCGACGGTCAGAAACCTGATGCTGTTAATACCCGAGGTGAATTCGATTTGATACACGATTCAGATCCAAAGAATGCGGATCACTCTGTTTATAACCAGAGCACTACTACTAAAACCCCATTTATTACTATCATGGACAGCGCTCCAGGTAGGTAACACCTTATCTTAAGCACATAAAATAAGCATAATGCATTAATTCTAAATTCTAAGTTATATGACACAATTAAAAATGATTTTTCTTCAGCTTAAACGTGATACCCGAATTTTATGTATAAAATATTTTTTACTGTTGTTTAACTCTTAATAATTGTATTTGTTTGGATCTTTGTAAATATTTAAATGAACTTAGTACTAAATTCTCACATTTGACAACACTCGTCAATTATTTTCAAAATTGTTTGTTTATTTTTTAAATTTAATTAATCGTAAAATCTTTTCAGTTGGTGGCCCTATTTTCGGCGTTCAAGTACCAGATAACGACGATAGGAGAGGTAAGTGAGGCTTCTTGTTAAAGCTTTAAGTGAACTCAGAACCCATTCGAAACGTAAATAGCATAGTGCTTTGCTAATTAACCGCTACCTAATCAGCCTCCTTTGACTATCGCTTTCTCTCTTTAACTCGACCTGACCTATTACCATCTTTGTGAATTGATAGCGCCAAACTTCGAGTCCAGTGCGGGAACCCCGGCCCCAACACAGAGACCCGGGGCAAGGCCGGCCAACCCACCGCCCACCAGCGCGCCCAAGGTCAGCAACTGTGTGTGGGCGATCGTGAACTGCTGCAGCGGCGACTCCAAGAAGATCCGGTACAATTGCTTCGAGGAGTTCAACTGTCACGGCGCCTTCTGGGACATTAACCCGTGCGCCGATCAAGAAATCCGCGACGGTGCGTTAACAAAGGTCCTGAACGCCTATCCGTAGGCGGCGAACCGATCACGGCTGCTTCCCGGCTTTTTTTAATAAACTGGCACAAACTCGCAGAAAACAAACTTAATTTATTTAACGCATTTTAAGTTTTTGCTCTTGTAAATATATATGTTTCCCGCTTAGCGATGAAAAACCAAAGCATTTTAGTTGCATTACGAATTTTTTTAATTTCAACACTTCAAAATCATAACAGTATGATTAATAAATCGGCCATTAAGCATTGTGGTTTTGTATTTTAATATCTAATACTTGTAGAATAATGTAGTAGAGAGTATTTCAAAATCTGGTCAAGCCTCTTCAAACTCCTGTTCATCATCCACATTTGTAATCACGCCTATTGGGTAAGGTCATTATTTCCTTAAAGGACATTGAGTAATGGGTATCTTATAGTCGGAGCGTTCGACTGTAGCTTTTCTCTCATAATCTAGACTTCCATATTCCGCTGAAGGACGTATGTAACTATCAAGAACTCCCAGCTAACACATGGTTCTGTTTCCAATTACTAATTACTGCCTTAGCTGTGTTTCCAATTAACGCATCCATTTTATTTAATCGAAAAACCAAATTAAAATTTTTCAATTCACTCCTGCGACTTCAATATGTTTGTTTAATTGGCTGCCAATCGACTGTCCAGACATGTAATCCACTCACAATTCAATAGCAATTACACAATCCCTTCAGCCATATCAATTAACCAGCTGCCAGAAGACCAATGGCCATTGATGGTCTATCTTTTAATTGGTCGTCTATATCGTGCCGCAGAACACAATTTACACCTGCAAATCCAATTGCACCTTCCCTGGCCACTCAGTTAGGGTATATAATTATGTTGTTTCTCCGTAATTGGCACACATACACATATAAATAAGTCTTTGGTTGATACTGTATAAACTTGGCGTAGAGAAAAATAGATTTAATTGGCTCGTCATGACAAACCAACTATTAACCAATTAAATAAAAACTATAAAAAGAGTAAAATGTTTTTGAAAATAAATCTGCTTTTTGATTGAAATTGTATCATTTTTAGGGCAATTATTTGTTGAACCTTCATTTTCGTTATAAACCAAATTGTAATATTTTATAATTTAAATAGTTTATATTCAAGTATTTCTTTAGAATTTTGAAGTTATTATTTTTGAAGCCATAAAGATAAGTACAGGCTTATAGAGCCTTAAAAGCTTAACTAAGAAATGGCAAAAAGGAAAATGTTCTTAAAGAGTCCGACACTATATTGTCATAATATCGCACAGTGTAGAGTTGGCTCAGCTGCTGCTGCTGCTGCTCATTAAATGCCAAACTCCGGGCCGTTGTTTATTAATTGTGTGAGTAGAGCCGAGCAGGCAGACGCAGTCAATTGGTGAAAGTGCACACAAACATAGCCGTACACAACACTGCCCGCACCTTGCACCCACTAAATTGCACTTTGGAACCATGGTTTACATGCTGACGCCTCTTAATTGCAGCGAATCTCGTGCCTCTAGCCGGCTTCTCACCCCCCGGATTCGCCCCTCCCCCTGCCTCTGCCTCTCGGCCCATCGCCCGTCGGCCGTCCTTTAGGGAAGGTAAGCCGCTGCATCTGGCGCCACCAGACCGCAAGCACTACCCACGACCGCCACATATCTAATATACATATATATCCCGCATTCCTTGCAGACTCCTTCCAATTTCCCCAGGAGATCGGCTACCAGGCGGGCAGCAACTGCCATCGGGCCTCGAAATATTGCTGCGGCCTCAGAAATTATGGATCCCAGTACGACTGCTTCCAACACTACGACTGCCACGAGAGCCTCGCGGCTATCATATCCAGCTGCTCCTGAAATGCCCTGGATGAATCTTCTATTTGGTCCATGTATGCATTGAAAATCCGTCTGTGACGAGAGCCTCGCGTTTCGAAAGCCCCATTTGCACCCTTAGGGTAACATTGGAATACACAAAATGCCATTTCTAGTCGTGCCTGTGGGGTTGGCCCTAATTAATAAAGATTTTATGCTGTTTCAAACTAACAATGTACGGTTTGCTCTTTTGTTTCCACATAAACTATTCAGCTGGGTAAGTATAATATGTTTCTTATTTCTCTTATTTGGGTGGCCTAAACGTAATTCAGTTTATTAGTTTGTTTTGATAATTCAGTTGAAATGTTTAGCAAAATGAAATGCAACAAAGAAATGCAATCAATGTATTACCCACTATATCTTTAATAATTTAAAAGCATTTCGAGTTAATAAATGTAATTTCCGAACAATTGATTGTCGCAATGGAAGTACTTCTGTGTTCTTAATTTATTTCTTTCTCATTTCGAGCTGTAGTTGCTCAGCCCAACAATTCCAGAAAAAGGCAGGACAGCGGCAGCTTGACTACAAATCTCCGCTGAGTTAATTTGCCAGCCTAATGTCATTTCCCATGGAATTCAGGGACCCAATCGCAGGACGTAAGGCGATTACGCAGTGCCCCGCCCACTGCCCCTTCGTTCGCCACTGTTGAAGTATTTTCTATTTAATGGGAGATCCACTTCACTTAGACAGGAAATGTTTTTTGATTGGTGGGCCCTAAAATCCACAGCACTTGGTCCTATAAACTAATTTCCTTTAAAATTTGTCAAGTAAACTTAATTGAACTCTTTTTTCATGGATTCTAAATTGACAACAACACAATTTTTTTACAGAAAATGATGTGCAAGTCGTCAGTTGTTTTTGCCAGTGCATGGATTACTCACCGCTGCCGCTGTCGTAGGATCTGGTGGTGGATCCACTGGTATTGGAGCGCTTTATCTCGCGTCGACCCATTTTGCTTGCGTTCGGCTTTTGCTCCTCCGGGATTTGGTCCTGGTGTTGCGAGGTGTGGGTCTGGGTCTGGATCAGGATCTGGTTCTGTTTTAGGTGCTGCTGGCAATCGCAATCGCAATCGAACTGGGAATCTCTGGACACGTGGCACGTGGCGAGAAGCGCACAGGCGGTGGAAGCAGCCGCTTTGGCAACGGCCGAACTGTACTGTCCACCGACTGGGCGTTGGTGATGCTGCTGCTGCTGCTGCTGCTGTTGCTGCGAGTTCAGCGAAGGTGTGGAGACTGCGGTGCGAGCACTGCGGTGGTGCAACAATGCCTGGCCAGGAGCGATGGCGATGGGCGGGTACTCAAAGTAGTTGGTCTGCAGCTGGTTGCCGAGCAAATTGATGGCCGGTTTGGTGGCCAACCCGCTCGAGTTATCCGCGTGGCTGGTGTGACTGGACTGGCTGCTGCTTCTCCTGTGCTGGTGGTTCTGGCTGTGGTTCTGGTACTGCGGATGTGGATGCGGATGCGGATGTGGATGGTGGTGCAGCGGGTAATGATGCGGATGGGAGTGGGGCGGAGTGCTGCTGCTGCTGGCGGGGTTCACTTGGTGCGGCGTGGGCGGCGGCGGGGGGCAGGCGTTGTTGATGCTGCTGTTGCTGGCGGAGGATGATTTGCGCAGCGATGATGGTCTCAACCCTTTGACAGGGTACAATGGGTACTATCGTCCGGCAACGCGTACCCAATCGCGGTGGTCACTGTTGTACCAAATACCTAAAAACAAAAAAGAGAACAAGCTATAATTTAATTCAAGCCAAAAGCCATTAAATAAAAACTGAACTTCTTAGGCGGAACAAATTGTTCCTTTCAAAAGCTTGTTCCATCAAGCTATTTCCAAACAAAGACGACGCTGAAGACGGTATCTGCTCAATCTTGCGCGAAAAAGAGCTTGACGAGTCGGCTACTGAAATTCACGGAAGTGCTTTTTCCCTTCTTGCTAGTAACCAGGTTGTAGCCCGACAAGGTCCAAGAGAATTTTGTCAATCTCTTAAAAAGATGTAACTAGCTCCAATTTTTCTTAGATGTCAAAGTAAAATGTTCAAAATTTTTGTTTTTTTTTACGAGAAAAAAAGAAACAGTATCTCAGTTATTATTCTTATACTTTATTTTTTACCGTGTGCAAACGTAACAATAACCGATGTTCTGAAAATGTAGCCCATCGATAAGCGGGCATTAACTGCACACAGGGATTGAGGACAAAGTGCACTTAAAGCCAACTCCAGTGGCGACGCGTGTCCTGCATGACAACGCAGATTGCGCATACGCCCCGTTAATGTCTGCCATTAGCAAGGCCATTTGGGACAGCACGGCCATCGTCGGCGTCAATTTTGCCAAATATTTGGCACATGAAATCATTTTGCGCTAATAAAATTGTACGCCCCTTGGGCGGTCCATTGATTTCCTGTAAAATTCCCGACCACAAAAACTGACCATACACACACCCACTCACCCACAACCGCATAGTAATCGCCCCTAATGGTCGGTCATTAAGATTCACAAAGCGAGAGACCATTAATATCTATGTTCGACTTGTAAGTGCCAAGGATTAGTCGGGGCTTGCCAATAAAAATTGATTAAGTCGCCGGAAACAATTGAAAATTTAATGAGGCGAACTCATAAAAGTTGAACCCGATGATGGCGGCAACAAATAAATAAATTTGCCTGCAGAAAGGAAACTGATGAAGTTTTTTATGCCCGTGAAGTGCATTTCACTTTTTACTACCCACATAACAAACATGACAAATCATCGAGCAGTCAATGCAATAAAACCAAGACTTCAGCGATAGAATCGATGCATATTGAATTAGGTGCACCGATTGGCGAGTCATCCACCGTTGACTGACGACCGTTCAACAGGTTGTGTGTTGTGTGCCAAGTCAGCGAAGGTAAAATCAATTGATTAACCGGGAGAGCTTCAAATCGAGTCCATGCAAATGAAATTGTAGCTTCAGTGGTGCGACACAATATTAGATTATGGCCAGCCTTCCACTTCACTCCTAGGTGGCAAATCAGCACACAGCAAATAAGGCAGATGCTCGCGCAAAGGCGTACCAGAACCGAGAACCGAGAACCGAGTGAAATGCAATTTAATTTAATGGGATTCCTCGGAAAGGAGTCTCCTCCAGGTCAGCACCAGCTGGCTGCGACATGCCAGTGTTATGTCACACACACAAAGTAGATCCTTAGGCAACAATTGTTATCGTTTGGCTGCTCACTCGCCGCTTTAATGAGGCACTGTGTTTTTGGCACTCAGTGGCTAGCTTTCTTGGTCTTAAGTTCGACAGATTCTAATTTGAAAATGGATAAGTTCGGAATGTTAAATATTTAAAACGTGCTTCAAGTATATGTGTAACTAAAACATGTTCTGTAATTTTATCTATTCAAATTTTGTTATATTTTGTTTGATATCAAAATGTATTCTAATAAGCCAGATTTAAACAAAAGTTTTTACTCAATAGTTTTGGGAAGTAAAAAATTTATAGAATGAGCTTAAATTAACGTATCTCTTTTTTTAACTAAACTTTTATTTGGGCCGAAATGTATTTAAAAGTGAATACCATTTTCGGAGACATAATAATAAATTTGTTTTTTTTTTATATTTATTTAAATGTTGTATATCTAACTATATATTACTTATTATTTACATTATACATAAAAGTTAAGGTTGAGAGTATTAATTCAACTGTTGCTTAACAATATTATTTGGTACGATGCCGCGTATTTATTCAGCTGAAAACACAGAAAAAAACAGCTGCAATGGTTTGGTTTTCGGGAGAGAACTCCTTTTTTCACATGTTGCGTCTAATGGTCCTCGACGCGAATTACCATAATAAAACACCAGAAAGGGACGGATAAAAGGCAACCAGAACATAGATACACTGGCACACACTTGCAAATGGCTATCCATGCCTGTTTGAATGAATCCCGGTTTGCACTTGGCCAACTGAAGCGTAGTCAAGGAGCCTGAGTTGAGTTTTTCCCCGCCACCCGACCATTTGGGGGCATGGATTAAGGCGTCAAATTGTTAGACAAGTTCTTGGCCCCGCTTTTTGTTTGGGCGTGGAAAGATCAAAGCCCCGCTGCATATACCATGTAGTATGCATACACACTCCGTTATGTATGTGAGTCCGTCTGCGACTACGTGTGTGTGTTGTGCAGCGACGTGGCTTAAACCCACATCCCTGACAATGCCTTTTAATCAATTCCCCGAGTCGCCCCATCAATAAGCGAAGGGCGGCCCGGAAAATGTGAGTTTCCTTTCGGGCTGACGGCGCGTGCTTTCCTTTTATTTTCTGCCATTCGGCATTTTTCTTTTTGCGTCTGGTATATGTCAATTTTTCTAATGAGTTGGCAGAAATAAATAAATAAGGCCCGAACCTTTTTCGGCATTAAATTTAAAGGGCCGTTCTTGTGATTGAAATACACTAATTTTTTTTAAAGATAATAAATAGCTTACCGACCATTAGCCGCATTTAAATTTTTAACAGTTTGAATGAATATGATGGTAGCCATTTTATATAAAATATCATAAATGAGAGCATTTTTAATTTGCCACTTACAGGAATAAGCTGGCAGGGCAATGTAACTACAATTTAAGCAGATTTAGTGCACGTATTTATAGAGCTTTATTCACCATTTTTGTGATTGAAATATTCCCATTTCTGGTTACATAATAATTAACTTACCGACTTTTAGACTCATTTCATTTGGAAGCATCTTGAATGTTTAAAAGGGACTGCTATTTTGCATATAAATTGTTAATCAGAAATAAATCAACAAGAGCATTTTAATATAAAATATGTATGCCAATTAAAGTTGATAAAGCATGCCCTAAAATACTAAATCTACGTAAATCATAGTTACATTAAAGTAGATTAGGTACTCGTACTTATAAAGTTATATTTACGATTATACAATGATATTTTCCTAGTGAGTTGGCAGAAAGAAATAAACTGTGCCTGTATTCCGGTTTAAAGCCCGTTTAATGCCGAGCGGAGGGCTCTCACTGATGGAGCGCACCGTACGCCTGGCTGACCACAGGACACACCCTCACACTGACACCACCGGAGCCAGGTTTCTTGTTGTGCATTAAATTTGTTGGCTGCAAGTCCGCAGTTCATAATCACAAGCAGACGCCCACCTGCTAAAATGGAATTTAATTTGCTAATACGCTTCGTTGAGTGGCGACGAAGGGCGGTGGTGGGAATTTTGAATTGGGCGATGGGATTGGGGCCGCCACTGAATTTAAGGTAGTCAGGTGAGACTGAGACAGTTGCCTATGATGGGTTTTTGGGGCTAACGCGCTTTTTTGTTGAGCCTGCGGCCGAAATTGTTGAAAATACTTTGAAAATCGTTTCTCCATCTCCACTCAGCAGCAGCATCAGCAGCAGCCGTTGGCCATGGCCCTGACTACAGTCATTCTCGGCTAAAACTTGGCTTTTACATAGTTGAGCTGGCATAGTTAAGCCAATGTAAACTTTTTTAATTTGCAATAATAATAAAAAATTCCTTTTTCGGCTGGTACGCAGGCAGCCAAAGAATTTCGAAAGCCACGTCCATGTCCCGGCACCGAATAATTCAACAAGTTTTATGCGCCACACTTCCACCGTCGACGTCGTCATCGTCTTCATCATCGTCATCAGGTTGTCCTTGCCACATGGCTTCAAAAATATTTGTGGTGGCAGTTTGTGTTCAACGGCAGCTCGCACACACATGAGACACGGATCGACAAAAAGGATATGGAAAGGGCAGCCTAATCCCCGACCAGTGGCGCTGTTCAAAAACCCCCATTTTGATTTATGCCAACGGGAGGCGAACAAACACCTGTTCTAAATTTATTAGACTCTAAGCGAACTATCGACCATGTTCAGCGAACTGCGATTATGATGATGATGGTGATGATGTATTCACTGGCAACCGAACCGCCAATTGGCGACTGCAAAATCAAATCAATAATAACACGAACCCAGTCAACTGCAAGTCAGATTCAGCCGTCTGTACCGATTCCGATGAAATCGGAATGGAAGTGGCAATGAGACTGGCAAACTTAACTGCGGGCTAAACAAATAGTTGCATTGCCTAAGCCAGGAGCTTGGCCCGAGATCGCTTCTCTTCCGGCAGTGCCAACGCCACCGTCTAAGCATGGGTGTGCCCCAAAAAGGGGGTCCAATAATGTGCAGCTAAGCAACTCAGATTCATATACTCGAATTATGTTTGAGGAAAGCTCGCATTTTGTCTAAAGAATTTCCTGAATTCCTTATTCCATTTAGGCTACGTCACTGCCAGATTAACAAAGGTCTTGCTTGGAGTAAACGGCACTGAGGGAAATAAATTATGCGGAAACCTTTTTCAAATTCAAATGTTGCCAAATGGAAATGACTTAAGATCAAGGAGAATTCTGTTGGTTTCCTAACTACTAACTAATTATAAACAATAGTTAGAAAACCCCCTGACATAAACTTTGTTATTAGAGTATAGAGTATATTGATAAGTAAATAAAATATTTTAAGAAAATATAGTTTAGGATGCGTTTGATTGCTCAATAGTAATGCAAATAATTATTATTTATAGTTCACTGTTCATTTATACGCTGTTTAAATAGCTAACTGTTAAAGTAAGATACAAATTAATTTTATTGCAAAGTTATTTATTATGCAAACGGCATTCAAAACTATAAGCATTTTAGTAAAACGTCAACTTTAGCTCTAAAAAAATTATAACCTAGCAGTTTTGATTAAACGATTTTTTGAAGTACCTTAAATGAATTTCATTGGTTTATATTTATAATGGTACTAAACCGTTTTTGTCCGTGCAGGTGCCGATGCTGTTGTCGTTGTCGTTGTCGCCGCTGTCAGTGGTTCCCTCGTTTAGCCCGAAATCGATTGCGACCCGGCAAAGGGATCACGAGGAGTAGGAGAAACGCCATCGTGGCAGAGACATTAAAGCAGGACGAGGGCAAAAACGATGCCAGGACACTGAGCGAAAGTGGCAACATGTGGTTCGACGGAAACGAGGCAAACGGGCTAAGGGGGGCGCCACTAAGCCTAAAGCGGTGGTATTTCTTCCCTATTGACGCTATCATTCTGAAGCCGCACAAAGGGCCGCTTGATTGAATGAGTGTCCGTGCGTGGGCACCTGGCACCATGCTGATAAGCGGCTGTTTCGACATACCTTGGCCAACCTTACCCACCTTCGCCACCTTTTGCACCACTTTTTCCACGCGGAAAACCTGGTGCTTTTTGTGCACCTGCGGCCACTGACAACTGCATCGGCGGAT